CTAGAAAGACAATTACAGAATGGTTGTGGAGAATAGGAACGGTTCGGTAGTTCGGTATTCGGGAACATATGTATTCTTATTCAAAGCTATTGAATCCCTAGAGAGGGAGAGATTACAATACTCCTTTAATCCTAACTGCCTTTCAACCCGGACAACCTTCGCTAATGAGCTACCAAGCAAAGAGGAGCACTGTAAACTTATTTTCCCATCAATTTCGCCCCAAACAAGCACACACGAGGAGACATCCACATGGCTGCATTATAATAAACATCATGTCAGGCCAAGAGGTCAAAACCGAAAGGAAAGTCCTACACAATATTCACACAGACTCCACATGAGGCTCTCCCCATCATCGATACGGATTCCAATTCCAATTCCAACTTCCCCGATTCCAGTGCCAATGCCATTCGCCAACCCGAAGGCAGCCCAACAAAAGTGGCTTAAATCAACTACTGACAATGCTAACGAAGCAGTCAGCAAACAACAAACAAACTGCGACACCTCTCTTGGTGGAGGAGGAGGAGAAGGAGACTGGGATGAGGATGGGGATGAGGATGGAGCTGAGGCTGAAGCTGGATCTGAGGAGGAGGAGTAACCAGGAGTCGGCACCTGGAATTGAGTGCAAAATATGGCGCAGAACAAGCAGAGCTGAGAGGAGGCGGAGACAGAGGAACCCCTTATGTCTGGTCTGGAACCATGTTACTTAGCGTCTTGGAGCAGTTGGCGCGTCATGTAGCCAATTAAAAAAAGCGAAAAAACGACAAGCGAGAGGAGCAGAGGAGCAGAGGAGCACGGAGAATGCTGGCTGAGATTCGACAATGGTGGAGCTGGAGGTGCGGCCCCTGCCAGTCCTGTCCTGTCCCGGTCCTGTCCTGGTCACGATTGGGAGGCAGTAACTGGCAACAGAAATCTAAGCGAGGCAATCAAATTAGGCAAGAAACAAACCAGGCTTCCTTCTCCTGCAACGACCTACAACGAGCAACGAGCAGGAGGCGGGCTGCGGGCTGAGGATGGGATTTGGGGACTTGGACTTGGGCTTGGGATTGGTATTGGTATTGGTATTGGGGTTGAGGGTGGACAACCTTAATTGCATCTTTAATGTGGACGGGAGTACACAGATATGCTAATAAAGGTCAGCGGATATGCGAGCATGCTCCGCTCTCGCATCGCGATAGCAGAGTGTCGACGTACGTACCGTTAAGCAAATTTCATGCCTGATTTCTGTTTTGGCCTGGCTCAAACGGCAGCGGCGGGGACATTGCAACATGACACCTCGACATGACAGCAAAATGAGCTTCTGTTGCCCGACTCCTTTTTGAGATCTCACCAGCAGCAGCAGCATCGGCAGCATCAGCAGCAGCAGAAGTATTGGTAGTGGCAACGGCAGCGGCTGTGAGTGACAACTGCAACGGCGTTGCTTTCAAATATATTTAACACCAGCCTCAGAGTCAACGTGCGGCTGCAGATTGGAGGCCCAGAGCCAGTCACAGTTCCACAGTTCCACGGCTCCACCGATCCATGCTTCAATCCACGCACCAAATGCATGCGAAATCGAACACTTTTCACACTCTCACAAAAAGATACACACGCGCCATGGAACGGGACAGTGATGACGTCCAAAAGAGGAGACTCTGGAGTGATTTCGATCTAAGAAAAAATATTTCCTCTCCAAAAGGAAGACTGCTTTTCAAAGCCAGACTAGGCACTCGCTTCTGCAACTTTAAGTTTCTATTAATCTAGTCTATTTTATTTTAAAATCGGGCTAGTGTTTCCTTTCGTCGAGGCTTCACTGTAGCCTGTGCGTTCGACTCGACCAATGCCCGTTTGGCATTCATTTATTCGCTCTGTTGCCAATTTACAAAATACAATTTTCAGTTGGCTGTTTTCGCTGCGCTGCTGTTTTTGTGTTTCTGTTTCTGTTTGATTTCGATTTGGGTTTTTTGGATTTTTGTCAAACGTAGAGCCGCCGCCTTAATTGATTTTGGCACTTTAACGAGGCGCAAAGTAAACGCACTCGAAGGAAAAACCAATTGACAGCTTTAGGCCTGGCTATCGGCGTGTTAATTGATCGCCAAATGGCAGTGGAATTGAAATTGTAATTGTGCGGAGTAATCGGAAGGTGTGTGGATTATCATCTGTTTGGAGGTCGATTACAACGGATCCAAAAACGATCATTTTTTTCCACTGAAAACATGCCCAAACACCCGGACAAGGAATACAAACCGAGACAGTTCTTGTAATTCTTTTATTTCTTTTCTTTATTTGTTGTTCATAAATCATGCATTTTGTCGGTTTGCATTTAATTTAGTTGCCGGTTTGGGATCGTTTAGCTTTCAATTATTTTACCATAAATATTTCGTAATCGTTCTTCACCACCAATTCTATATATATATATATATATATATATATATATATTTCGATTCATATTTGTATATATAAGTATATGTATGTACACCATTGAAATTTGGCCATCTCTATGGGGAAGGAAGGGGAGGGGATGGGCGGCCATATCCACATATGTATCATATCTGTCCCTTGCCGTATCCGTAATTACACATATATATGTATTTGAATGAACTTTTCATGCTTCTAGTAGATGGTTAGATAGAATATTACTTATATAATTTGTTGACTTTATTATTTGATAGCTTATGCAAGAAACAGGTTAAAATCTCATGCCGTTTGTTATTATTGGATCGTTAGGTCCATCCATCGATCTCTAGGCTTATCATTTCATCATAATTTATATTCTTTATTCATTGTGCTTCGTTTTATTTTTTACAGTGTAGCAAGTTGTTTGATTAATTATTATTTATTAATTATACATATGTATATAATTTGTTATTTTTATGTTTTAATTTTTATTTTTGGTTTGTGTTTGCTTACTTAATTACCACAACAAGCGTTTCCAGTTTTCTTATTTGATTTACTAACAATAAATACAGGTATATACTATATATATACTTTATTAGGGAATTGGCTCAACTGCAGTGTGGACTGAATTCCATCGCCATCCAGGGGGATGTGGCATGTGGCATGTGGTGTGTGGGATGTGGAATGAAATGATACGTTGGATACGATTGGAATGCAACTGAAATAAAAATCGGAACAAAATATTAATAAAACTTAAAGTAGAGAAAGCGGAGGACTAAGGATGGATCGAAAATGAAAAGTCAGATCTCAAAAGAACCTTAAATATGGGAAAAGAGAAATGAAATCCGCTGATGGAATCGTTGGGCCAATTGCAAAGAGTCAAAGAGTTCTATACAGAGAGAGAGGATATATGCATATTAAGCTATTAATACTCGATTGGTAGATTTCACATATCAGTTAGTTATAGAGCATTATCGATAGAGAGCGTTTGGGTGTGGGATGTGGGATGTGTGTGGAGTCTCTACAATATGTATATTGTATGGGTTGTATCCTCTAGAATCTAGATGTTTCTTTTCTGCTGCATTCGCTGTAAACAATTTCACATTTAGCTATGAATTAGTTCAAAATACAAATACGCAAAATGGCTGTATCGATATACATATATGTCTATATAATAAATATATATTTTAAGTACGTTTGCTTTTCTTTTTTCTTTGTTTTTTTTTTTTGGTTTTCTGTAGGTCTTCATGCAAAAGAAGAAGTTAAAAACTGTTAAGTACATATAAAAAATATGATTGTTGTTATTACTATTGTTGTTAATTAATAACTATTTACAATTATTGTAGGCTACCAGACATAAATAAGTTTAAAAAACTCTTACAAAGTCGAAAGCTATGATTTCATTGATTTCTTCTCGAAGTGCTTCCCGATAATGGATGATCCAACAATGAGAAATACAAATAGAAAGTCGTAATTGTTTTTATGTAGATATTAGACAGTCACATAAGTCGTATATACACTCAGCTATACATACATACATATATCTATATATATGTGTATATATCTATACATTCATATGTGGTTAACTATTCCTCTAAATGTTCAAAGGTAAGATAGAGTTTTCGTGTTCGTGTTTTTACCCGTAGTTGCAGTTGCAAATGTGTCAAATCATAGAAGTTTTACGCATCACAATCGGTTTATATTCAATTCAATTATTCAATGGTGTTTATGGGGGGAAAGAGAACGAGCAGGGAAATGGAGAATGGGATGGGATCGGATAATGATATCTGGGGGAAAAGAGATTATCAATTACAACACGCTCAAGACAAGTCCAAGTCCAAGGTACGTGACAGCATGGAACATTCCTCTCACAATACTCCTCCTCTCCTCGTATTTGGAGGGATTCGAGGGCTGAAACTGAAAATGGGACCACAATGAAGGTGCCGTGCCGTGCCGTGTGCCTTTCTGTCTCTCGGGATCTGGGATGAAGGTTTGTTGGTTGGTGTCATTAGAGTTTCGCATTTGTTTGAAGTTTGCAATTTGTTTTCCATTTTATTATCGCTCTTGCTTACGCTCTTACCGCTCTACAAGTTACAATCTAGGAAAGTACATCTCTACGTAATTATAGTTTAAATGATTTTGTTTTTTTTTTTGTATGTTTTCGTTTTGGATTTTAAAATATTATCGTTATTGTTATCATTAGTGTGTTTATATTATAACATATTATCATCATATTATTATTATTATGTTTATGTTGGGGTTGTTGTTGTTGTTGCTGCATAAGAATTACAAATACAATTAAAAGTATTACCTTGTATAAAAAATAATAATAATAATCGCATACAATAATAGTGTTTTCTTATGCTCTTCAACACAACTCCCTCTCTCATCTCTATCGATCCTCTGCTCTCCCCTCTACAGTGGCGATCCTTAGTTAAAATAACTAAATGTAGTTGAACGTGGGTTTTCTCTGATCTCCTTTTCACTTATCTTCTTTTAGGCTACAGGATAAGTTAATTTAATTTACGTACATTGAAAAATGTGTTTTCTTTTCTTCTTGTTTTTCTCCCGGTAGGGGGGCTGCCGCGACTGCCCACCAGGCTCCAACCCATTCGCAGGGTCGGAGGCCGTAGGGCCCCATCGAACAGCAGCCCAGATAAAGCGCGTGATTCTGAAACGGCGTTAGCCTGAGAGGCGGCGGCCTCTCCATCGTTCGTACAACTATTCGTATCGTATCACTAAATATATAGTTTCATAATTACTATTATAGATCTTGCTGCTGCTACTTTTCTTTTTTGTGTGTTTTGTGGGTGGTGGTGTGTGTTTTACAATCGAATATTTACAGTTTGCTATTTAACACATGAGTTGTTTGCAGAGTTGTTGCCTGGAGCAGGGGCGGGGGTGTCTAGGGAAATCTCCAGCCTCGCAGAAAGAGCCAAGTTCTCGATTCGTGCTTCTCATATGCTTGTGCATATACATCATACACATACACATATACATATACATATATATATCGCTTTTATTTGTGTAATTCTAAATATGGTTTAGGGTTAGGCGATCTTGAAAAATAAGACCTAAATCGTTATACACACACATGTCTCTCTCTATATATATATGTCTATATATATATATATAAATAAAATCAAATTAAGCAAACTTTGTTATTGGTGGCTTTCGTTTATACACTCTCTTCTTCCCATTCTGCTTGGCCCTTCCCCTTTGGCTTTGGAGAGCTTCCCGCCTAGCTATGTTACAGAATTTGGAATAAGTTCCATCTGATTATCGTTTAGGGTTCTAATCAATTTTTCAAGGCTGGCGGCATGTGTGTGCGCGGGTTGTATGCATATGAAATTCTACATTTAAACTACAGTATATGTATATAGGGCGTAGTAGTAGCATTTAGCCCAGATGCGACGCCGGCTGGCCTAGATTGACCAGACAGAGGGCACAGCAGCAGGACGGCTGCAGGAGCTGGCCCAGGGCCACCATCAGCGGACTCTGGGCCGCGCCCATCGGCGTCAGCAGGAACTCGGTCTGCTCCTGGGCCAGACCCAGTCCCATTCCCATTCCCAGTCCCAGCGAGGTGCCGCCGGGCAGATTGACGGAGAAAACATTTTGCATTAGATGTTAGCTGCTGCTATCCGCGTCTCATCTGTTGATGGTGGACGTGACTCCGGCTCCCCCGGCTCCGGACACGTTAACATTGCTCGATGTAGTCACGGTCACACCGCCACCGACGCCTCCAGCACCGCTCCCACCTCCTCCGCCGCCGCCTGTACCACTCCCATTGTTGTTATTGTTGTTGCTGGTGGGCATCACCACTCCGCCATTGTTGGCACTGACCATCACCTGCTCCACGGTGAGGCTCTTGCCCACATCCTTGGCGCTGAGCAGAGCTCCGTCCGACGAGCCCACATTGTTCGTATTGGTGGTAACCAGTTGTCTGATGGTGGCGGGTGCTCCGCCAGCACCGCCACCGGCCGAGCTGTTGACGGTGGTGCCCAGGGGCAGGGTTCTCGTGATGATCGACGAGTTGACGCGCCCGCGCAGCACCTGCTGAAGTCCGCCCGGCCCCAGCTGCATCTGCATCTGGCCGCTGTTGTTCTTTTGCAGCGGCTTCACATTGAGCAGGCTGGTGTAGAGGACTCGCTTGTCGCCCTGCTGCACCTGCTGGGCGTTGGCCGCGGCCACCGTCTTGAGCTTCTGGTGGTGTACCTGCTGCTGCTGGGCTTTGTTTAGCACCACCGTGGTGGCGCCCACCTGTTGGGGTGCCTGGCTGGCCAGCGACTCGCCCGTGCTGCTCACAAAGTTCAGCTTGAGATTGGAGTTGGTGAGCTCCTTGTAGTGCAGCTTCTGGCCACCGGCATTGCTGGCCGCCACCGCCGCAGCCGCCGCCTGCAGTTCGCTGGCCGTGAAGTTGGTGAAAGTGCCGCCGCCGCCACTGTTGCTGCTGGTGAGGAAGATCTTGTTGGCCTGCTGGGGCGCCGCCTGTGAGCTGATGATGGCCGTCGCCGGCTGCAGGCTGTAGTTGTGGTTGGCCGCTATCGCAGCCGCCGAGTTGGGCTTCAGCTGCTGCTGCTGCTGGGACTGGCCAGTGTGCTGCCCAGACTGCTGCTGTTGTTGCTGCGGCTGCTGCTGAAGATTGAGATCCGAGACGAGCAGGGGGAATGGCGACATCTTGATCACCTTGCTGAGCTTCTGCAACTGCTGATGCTGGTGGTGCTGCTGTTGCAGGGACTCGCCAGTGTCCATCTGGTCGCCGCTGTTGATCGTCGTCGTGGCCGTCACCAGATCATCCTCGTGCTGCACCAACTGTTGCAGCTGTTGCTTGGTCAGCTGGATCTGCTGCTGCGCCTGCTGCTGAATCTGCTGCCCTCCTCCCGGATGCTGGCCAATCACCTTCCTCTGCGAGAACTTCCGATTCAGCAGCAGCTTGTTGATGTCTGAAAGGCCAAGGAATGCAAATGGATATTAAATTTCTGTTCAAATCAATGGATTTTTGTGTGGGAGCAGAGTCAAAGGACAACCAAAGCAATCATGCAATCTATGAGATATGAGACATGAAACGAAAATCGCAGCCACTTACAGAAAAACTCATTTAGATCCGGATAACCTATAGATAACCCCCGCCATCGAATCTAGCCTATCAGATGGGACCTCAACCTGAAGAGAATTCCACTGAGAAATGAGAACCGAGGAACAAATAACAAAAGCTGCGGAGACGGCTCGATTGCCAATCCAACGATCGTTACAGTAGCTTCTTCCACTACGAAACATTCGGCAAACGATGAGGATTACGTTGATTCGCTGCCCAAATACCCCATGAGCGAACGGAAACAATCGAAGCATCCACGAATGCGAACTAGTCAATGTCTTTCACAACCCACAAACAAGAACAACAATTCACAGAGATTTCTTGCAAAGGCTTGAGGTTAAGGTTATCTTTGCCCTCCAATATACCTCCGATATCAAGAACCAAAGAAAACGGATCTCAGAGCGGTTGCGAATCGAATCAAATCAAAAACATCAGCTAAATCTTGAAAGCTAGATGCTAGATGCTCGATCCTTGATTTCTGATTTCTGACACATAACCTACGAAAGAGAATACATTATATTCGATCCACACCAGAATGGTGGCTCACCTGTGTTCTCGGGCCCGTTGAGCTGTCGCTTCTGGGTGCCACGGCTAGTCCAGAGTATCTTGTTGCCCACCGCCGCTGGCGAGGTGTCGGCCGTCGTCGAGAGCACCGCCGTGGTGGCCACCGCCGTGTTCGTTCCGCTCACCTGGCGCCACACAATCGGCTGCTGCTGCACCAGCTGCTGTTGCGAATGCTGTTGGACGACATTGTTGCGGGTGGGCGTCGTGACGATCAGGGGCGTTGTGGTGGTACCCTGCTGCTGCTGCTGCTGATGGTGGTGCTGTTGCTGCATCCCGGCTATGCTGTGCACGGCCAGCTGCTGGCCACTGGCCGTGTTGATGATGTTCACACTGGACCCAGAGCCGGCGCCACCCGCGGAGCAGTTGTCGTCGCTCTGCAGCTTTACATTGGACAAAGTGATCACGGTATTGGGTCCAATCGATGTGGTGGTGGCTCCTCCGCCGGCGCCACTTGACTTCTGTATGGCGTAGGTGACCTTCTGGGCGGCAGCCGCTGCTGCTGCCGTGATGATCTCGCCGCTGCCGGTGGTATAGATCATGTGATTGCCAGCGGCGCCAGCGCCGGCTGCATTGAGGGGTGTCAAGGAGCGCGAGGAGGTGACGATGCTCTGTGTGGTGATCACCGGCGAGCCGATCCCGTCCCGCTGCATCTGGAAGAGCAACTGCTGGGTGGGCTGTTGCTGCTGCTGTTGCACTTGCACTTGTTGGGGCGTGCCCTGGCGCTGTTGAACGGTCACGTTGCGGAGCTGGGCCTGCGCCAACTGGTGCTGCAGCTGCTGTTGGGCGGATAGGGTGGGCAGGGGACTGCTTCCCGTGTGCGGTGTGATCGTCACAATGTCCCCGACGGCCGCTCCTCCTCCGTATTCCGTCCTGGCAATGATCTGCGGACTGGCATTGGCGAACTGGTTGAGCAACTGCGTCACCTGCTGGGGCGCTGTCTGTGCCTGGACCTGCGCCTGTGTCTGCGATTGAAGCTGGAGCTGCTGCGTCTGCGGCTGTATTTGCGCCATCTGCGGCTTCTGGGGTATTATCTGGGCGGGTATGTTGATGATCTGCGGCGTGGGAGTGGCCAAAATTGGCTGTGGCATCGATTGTGATTGCGGCTGCGACTGCGACTGTGGCGGTGGCGGTTGCGTGGGCTGGGACTGGGCTGGGGATACCACCACCTCAGGCTGTGGTGTCTCTACCGCTGGTTCCACCTTCACAGGCTCCAGGGTGTCTGCCGTCGTCGTTGCCGCCGTTGTCGTTGTCGTTGTTGCCGGAACGGGAGCTGTCTCTGTTTCTGTCGCTGGCTGTGGCTCCTCTTTGGGCGTCACCACCTCCTGGCTGAAGAACACCTCGCGATTCTTGAGCGACTCTTGCGTGGGACAGACCGTAAACAACGAGCTGCCCACAGGGACATTCACTGGCCTCGGCTTGCGAAGTCGCCCGGCGCGCTTGGACGCCTCTCCGCCCACCTTGGGCTTCTTTTCGTCGATGCAGTCGAGGAGCTGATCGGCAATCTCGACCTCGTCCACAGCCGCCTCGCCATCGAGGATGCCGTTCCAGAAGCTGGTGGCCTGATTGAGTGCCTTCGGATCGTCCATGCCGCACTCCTGCAGAATGTTGTCCAGCATGTGCTCGTGGTTGTCGTCCTCGTCGTCGCCGAGCAGATTGTTGATGTCGTTAAGCGAGTCGCCGGCGCTCAAGTTGAACTCCAGGGCGGACCCCGAACCAGAGCCAGATCCCGAGCAGTTCGGACTCTTGCTGGTGCCTCGGGCATAGTCCTGGGCGTAGGCCGTCTGAATGAGCTGGGCATCAGAGTCCAGATCCGTGTACTTGAAGGCATTGCTCAGGAAATAAGAGCTGGTGTCGCTCTCGATTTCCTCCTGCTTTCCAAGACGATTCAGCTCCACGCTGATGGGCGTATCCTGGGTCCAGTCCACCGCATGGACACCAGAGTCGCCGCAGGGCTTGCCCTCACCATCGTTGCTATCGGAGAGCTCGTCCGTAGGCGTCTTTGGACGAAAGTGCAGCCAGTCGCGTCGGATCTCGGAGAGGAGTTCGTTGCAAATGTCCAGACGCTGACTGGAGGTGGGCGAGAGTCCGCCCAGGTAGTCCACGTCCATGTCCTCTGCCGTGGCATCTATATACAGGTCCCTGGGCTTCGAGCACGTTTGGGCGTTTCGCAGATTCTGCAACCGAATCACATCGGGCAGCTGGTTCAAGCAGACGGTCTCCTCCTTCAGCTCCTGCGGGTATCCGTATCCCCTCTGCTCCCGCTGCTGCAGCTGCTGCTGTTGCTGATGCTGCTGCTGCGCCTCCAGCTCCTTCTTGACAGCCGTGTGACGGATGATGCTGCTCAGCTGGGCGAGATTGACATCGTCCTCGGCCTCGTCGTCCATCAGTTCGGGATCGGGGCTGGCCTGGAGTACAGTCGCAGCCACCGTCGCCGTGCGGATGATGCTCAGCGGCTCATTGGAGTCGTCGGCATCGATTAGCTCCCGCTTTATCGTCTTGGCCACATCCTCCATGGAAGGTCCGAGCATGGATATTCCAGCTGCTGATGATGCTGCTTCCGCTGCAGCGGCTGCTTCAACGGCTCGTGCTGCTGCCGCTGCCGCTGACGTGGAGGCTACCGGCTGCTCCTCTCGCCCAACGTCCTCGTTCCCCTCTGCCTCCAGCTTTATCACATTGATTTTTTCGCTTATGCTAACGTCCTTATTCATATTACTACTACTACTACTGCTATTGTTGTTGTTGTTGTTTTTGTTGTTGTTGTTGATGTTGTTCAACACGGTGTTGTTGTTGTTGTTGTTGGAACGGTGGTGGTGCTGATTATTGGCTCGAGGAGGAGCAGGCTGCTGGAGCTCCTCTGCAGCACTGCTCTTCTCCTCTTGCGGAGCCAGATTCTCGCAAACTTCCATCGCCTCCTCCTGCTTGAGTTTCTGTCCCAAGGCCAGCACCAGACGCTGCAGATACGCCCGGGGCAAAGGACACAACGGAGCAGTGAAAGGACCTTCCTCCCCACTTGCTGCTGGCTCTCCACCAGTTCCTCCAGTTGCTGCTGCATCCGACGACCTCTTCAGTCGCTTGGCCGCATTGAGCTCCCGCATCTGCTGCTTCTTGTGCCGCAGGCGACGCCGTTTCAGGCGCATGTCGTGCGAGCTCTGGGACAACGTTACCGCCGAACTATAGAAACTCAGCCGTGAGACATTCTCGTCATCGGTAACCAGGTCATCTTCCTCCCCGTCCAGATCGAGCACCTCAGCGTCCACCTCTTTGTCTAGCGGGAGGGGCAGCAATGAATCACCCACCGATCCGCCGGCAATCGGCTTATCCACCGAATGACTGGTGGGCTCCGATTTGACAATGGCGTCGGGCGGCAGCGACGTCGCATCAACGCTGTCAATGTGTTTGGATGTGGGCACAACAACAAGGTCCACAACAGTCGGCGGGGAGCAGGGCTTGGCCAGCGGAAGCAGCTCCGGCTTCGGTAGTTGGTTGTTTCTCCTTTGCGCGTTGTTGCTCTTGACGACACTCTCCATGACCGTGTAGTCCAACTGCGACCAGACATCGTCAAAGTTCGTTGTGGCCCGATCGAGCAGGATCCTTCCGCCGCGGCCCACACGACGTCGGGCGAAGCCAATGCAACGCGGGCTGCAAGATTGATTAAGCCCGATTTATGCTTGAGTATTGGAGGGGGGCCGTTTAGCAAACACCAACAACAACAAACCTGGGATAGTTGATGGAGGTCAGCGTGTAGCGATATTTGGGATCCGAATATGGTCCCGTCGATCTGCTCGTTTCCGTCTCCTCATCCGCCGAGTCATAGGGCCAGCGTCCATTTCGGTGCCGTGTCTGGAAATACAAAGCCACCATTAATATCGTCTTTCCTTCCTCTGCACACAGTGGACAGGGGACTCGCGAGACACTTACGGGCAGGTAAATACAGCTCGGCTTCCGTCTAAATGCAAACGGCGCCTCATCCTCGCTCTCGGAGCCCAGTTGGTTGCCATTGAGGCCACCGTTTAGGTAGTCATCATCCTCGCTGTCCAGAATCGAATCGTTTGCCGCCGGCGAGGCACTCTGCTGCCTGCTGAGGTTGTGCAGATGGTGGGGCAAATGGTGGGCAGGCGAGGCTCCAGATCCTGACGACTGTCCGGGCAAATACTGTTGAGTCTGCTGCTGCTGTTGTTGTTGTTGCAGTTGTTGGTGCTGGTTCTGCTGCTTGTCGCGGGGAAGTTTGTGTTTGCGCTTCTTGTAGGGACGCTTCTCCTTGCGACTGCTGCTGCCGTTGCCGTTGCCGTTGCCGCTGCCAGAGTGGATGGTGTCTAAAGATGAGGAATGGAATACGAATTAGTTATTACTCCAGTGGCAAATGCCGGCATCCTTCTTTTCTTACCCATTGTCGACGTGTTCAGGTACTGCGACGGCGAGGCATACACATTCGTGTTGCCCGCTGCTCCGCCACTTGCCAGCAGACCCGGGGGCAGGGCAGCCAGAATGGCGCCAGCCGTTCCAACCGCCGCCGCCGCCCCTTGTGAGTATTGATTCGTATACAATGAATTATACGCGGGTCTGTAAGCGAAACAAAATAAGGAAGCGGATCAGTGATCAGTGCACTCAATGCCTGGGACGTTCTCTTTTGTTTAGAGCTCACCTCGTGCTCTTGTATTGAGCATTCAGCTCGGAGTAGACAGCACCGTTGAAGTCGCGCAACTCGACGCGCTTCTCAAAGATATTCACCGTCGTCTTGAGTTGTTCGCGCTTCGTCTCCTCGCGTCGCCGCACCATCTCCAGTATAGTTGTGGCACGCTGCAGGTCGCGTCTGTTTTGATTTGGAAAAAACGATCAATTAATGCGAGCAATAAATTGAAATATCTCATGCGATATGCCGGCCAATCGGCACAATCCATGATGTGGGATCAGAGGGCTGATGCCAATTTGCCAGCATTTTTTACACTGTATTTTGCAACCGACTTCATGTGTGTGATTCCCTCAATTCTTACCGCAGCTTGAGCATCTTCTCGTAGGAGGCCTCGTCGTTCTTGCGATTCTTGCGCGTTTGCATTTTCTCGGTGCGCCGACGAAAGGCCAAATACGGATTGTTGGAGCTGGCACCAGGACGACTCTCTGTCTTCACAGTGAGTATCAGCGGATGTTGCTATGAGGGAGACAACAGAAAGTGAGAATAAGCTACGGGAGTCCCATCAAATCAAGTCAAATCGAATGCCTACCATCTTGAGGCGCTTGTTGAGCCAGTAATCGTAGAGGGATATGCTCGTCTCGTCATCCTGATTGAGCAGAGACTTGGCCTCGTTGAGGGTGACGACCGTTTGACCCGAGCTCTTCTCCAGCAAATCCATCAATTGTTCAAACTTCAGCTCCGTCAGCTCCAGGCGCTCCTGCTGGCTAAGCCATTCCATGTCCGCTTTGTCCATGTCATAGTCGGGCACCTCAGTGTCCAGGCCAAGAGCTGTAGGAGGGGATTATTAGTATTCGACAGATTATGGGCATCGAATGAGCACAACACTCACGTTGCATGTGAATCATCTGGCGAGGCATCTTGTAGTCCGGCGGATAGTAGGTATCGTAGAAGGGCTGGTCCGTCTGCAGTACCTCGGGTGTGGGGATGATGAGGCCCGTGCAGATTGCCCGCTGCAGATGATGTTCCTGTTTTTAAGGAGACACGAAAGCAGTGATTAGAAGATCTAGATCTCGCTTCTCAGAGGGGGATAACACTTACCGATTCTTCCTCCTTCTCCATGCCACTGGGCATTTGGGGCACGGCACGATTTATGGCTGAATACTCGGGCAGATCGGGCAGCTCCTCGGCCAAGTAGATGGGCATCTGCTTGGACGGATCCAGATGGCGTGCTCGGAACGATAGCTTCGACATTTTGACTTCCTTTTTGTTTGTTTTGTATGTGCGTGGTGTATATGGATTATGTGGAACGTTTTAGCTGTTGCTGTTTTGTATATTTCTTATATGTGTTGTTTTTTGTTTTTGTTTTTGTTTTATGGTTGGTTAAGTGGAATTGGCTGCTTAAGTTGCTATGGATGCTGGTGCTGCTTCGGGAGCTGCTAACCTACTGCTGACGGCTGCACCGGCCACCGGCGTCGATGGATTTGTGCTGCTGCTGCCGCCGCTCTCAAGGATCTTACTCCGATGCGTTACCGCTGCTGCTGCTAAGCGTTTCGTTGTTGCTCTTCCTTCTGCTCTCTCTGCCAATCTGGCTATGGATGGAGGAGATATGCTGCTTATAGTAGTGGTAGTCCCAAGCGTATGCAACAGCAGGGATGAACAGGCTAGATGCAGTAAGATGATTCGGCTGACCAACAGTCGGGCCTGCTGCTCCTCCGCTGCCTCCTCCGACGACTTAGCACCGGGGCTGCGGTGGCTGTGGCTGCTGTGCCAGCTGGTTAACGCAGCCCCTGTGCCCGTTCCCTTGGCAAACGTTCTGCCACTTGTTGCAATTTGGTGTGGAGTTGTATGTAGATTTGGGTGAGGGTGTGGGTGTGGGTGTAGATGTGGATGTGGGTCTGGGATCGGGATCGCGGCGATGATCGCCAATGAACGCCGCTTGTGAGCAACCTTTCTTGCTATATAGGGCGTATCGTTATCGTCCTTGTCCACCTCCTCTTCCTTCTCCGTCGCCTCCGCCGCTGCCGCCGCCTCCTGCTCCGCCTCCTCCGACTGCTGTTCCTGCTGTCCGGACTCCTCGATTCGTGCAGACAGGGCCGACAGCAGCAAGATGGCCAGAGAGATTAGCTGATTGCAATTACGACGACAACGCAATGGTAGCAACAACAATGACAACGAATGCAGCAATTGTGTCGACGACATTTTTCACGTTGAAATCGAAAAAAGTATGTGAATTGGCATAATTACGTTCATCAAAATTGCACATTTCAGTTCATCATCATTTTTCTATATTGAAAATTGTTGTTTTTCCAGTTTTTGCCGTGTGTCGCTTCGTTCCGTTGTTGCTTTCTTGTTGTTCCTCTCTCTCTCGATCGCTCTCTCTGTCTCTTCCTTATCGTTGGATGATAAAAATCTACAAAAGCGAGGAACAACAACAGAAACTAGTAAGTAAACAACTAACAGACACACACATACACACAGTAGTAGAAACATGTACGTGGATGTGGTTGTGTGTGTGTGTGCACGTAAGGGGAGCGCGCGGGAAAAATAATCTAAACACACACACACACACTAAGGAGACGATCGCATTCGAAAACAGTTATAATATGAGGTCTGTGTCGCTTTAAAATCATAAAAACACGCACAAACCCATATACCCCTTTGTTTCAGGACTATGAATCATATCATTCTGAGTTTAATTCCTTTTTTTTTGTCGCAAAATGCAAAAAATGCAAAATCATAGAAAGCCGCGTACAAAAAAAGGCGGCATAAACAAACACACACGCGGCGACAGCCTCAAACAAACGCGGCGAATTGCACGAAGCAGAAAAAACACGAAGCGCAAAACACGACGAAAAAGAAGAAAAAAAGGTAGTCAACTCTTCCTCATGTGGGTTTTGTTTTTTGCAATTATTGGCCAAATTAGTGATCCGCCGCGGGGTGTATATATTTTCATATACGTTAATGAATTTTTAGCATCGTTTACCGCACTTTTCACACACCTGCAAGCGAAATTTTGTTGATAATTCGCTTGAAAAATTTACACAAATTCGTAGATTTTGCGTATAGCGTGGTTTTGCTGGAAAGCAATGGCGGCCAGAGAGCCGAAGATTGACGACGCTGCGGACTCACAGGCCGCGAATTTCGGCCAACGCCGGCGACATTTACACAGAGCGGCAATGCGGCAGTTCTTCTATTTTGTTTGCCATTTTCACACAGTTTCACATCCAGTTCTTGGTTAATAATTTAATTTAATTTTTTTTAAGAAAGTTTTTGTTTTTCATTGACTTGCACACGTAAACAGCACTGTTTTGCCGATAAAATGTTTATCGATTCAGCGCCGTTCGGCGGCAGTGTCAGCGGCGCGAAAATCCGAATCACTCCGAAACGTTTACCGGCTCCCTCTGCCGAGCTTCTTTGGCACTACATCTACCAAGATTTTTTTCACAAAACACAAAATCGATTAAATTTTTTCACACACATTTTTTTACATTTTATTTATTTTTACACGCCTCAAGCACCGTTACATACCACTTGGTACGTTGCTGGAGCAACTGACAAAATTTCAGCAATATTCAATGAGTTTTGATGGTAAAAACGACCGAAATTGTCTTTCAGCAGCGGGACACGTTTTTACTTAGTGGCGGCCATCACGAATGAATTTTTCGGAGTCGTGCAATCGTCCAAAATATGACGAAAATATTTTGGCTTGATCAATTTGTGATCTATTTGATGAAATCGAATGCGGTTTTCGGTGGTACCTGTAGAATTTTGGCAGGGAATTAATGCATGCATTGGGATCATTGGCAGGAAGCTGCATTTGTTTTAATTATTGTTTAGACGCACATCGGCAATTCACCTCGTCATGTTATGTTAACAGCGAACCTGCCTTGTTCACAATTGGCAATCATTCCTCGATTTTGATATTCGGTTTAATATTGCCAGCTACCTAGGACCCTCAGCCCTGAAGACATATTTTTATCCAATTGATAGATCAACTTTCTACAAGACATGATCATTTTGGGGACTCCTTTTTATTTAATTGTGTCTAAATAAGGTTTACCCAAACAAGGTTACAGCATAAAACGTAAGTGTGTGTTGAATGTAACGTAAAGTGCGTATGGAATGTTACGTCTTTGTTTCTGGTCAACAGGTATCCGCTCTGAGTGTCGGCTCTTTTATACCCTATTTAATTTTATTGATTTTAAAATTCTGCTATCCAAGCTGATATAAAATGAAATTAATGACCTTTTCTCAGATTGAATTTTTCTTGACCTATTCATGCATTTTGTTCTTTATCGTGTGTATTATCAATCCCAATACCTATTCTCAGTCTTCTCAGACTGACTAATGACGCACTCATTTGAGCCTGAGATGACAAACACTTCCTCAATCCTATAATCTCCTTTTCCCTAGGGTATGAGGTATGCAAAACGTCTCTGCGGTCACATTGATTTTTGTCAGCTGTTTTTGAAAATTATCGAAAATTGTATCTGCAACTTTTTGAGATGCGCAAAATGTATTTTACATCTTACACATTTCGCTACATATTTATGTAGTTACGGTACGTAGCCTCATAGTTTAACTTCACTGCCAATAACCGATTCGAAGAGTAGCGCCAAAGTGGAATTTTTTGAAAGTGTAGTTTGAAAGCATAAAGTTTTTTTTATGCAGAATGTTAAATCCGCGCCATTTTGAAGGTGCTCGTTCTCTCGGTACATACGGTAGAACATCCTGCACATCGGCGTCGTTATTTTATGTCAACAGCGGACAAGATTATACATGAAACATGTGTTGTAAAATAGTTGCGCACCGATATTTTTTCAAAAGCACCGATTTTGTATTAATATTTTACCATCCCAATTTATCTTAAAATCTATCTAAATTTTCAATTTCCTATTCAAAATAAGATAATAAAATGGAAAAGAGATTTTTTTTTAGTTTATTGACCGATATCGATATTCTTTTCTGGAAGCACTGAACTGGAACGAACTAAACCAGAAACAAACTCAAAATGTTGCGCTGCCGATTGGTTTTCTGTCCGTTATGTTTTGAATTTAAAAACTAATGTATTCCAAACTCTGTTTCGTTTAAATTCTTCTTTATTATAATCTTGTACAATGCTCTGTTGCAAAATAATCTTAATATTCGCTCGATTCGCTTAAGATCGATTAAACGTTTACTTGAAATTTCTTTATTGGCTAGATACAATTGTTGAGATTGAGATATTTTAGTACGGTGCTCATCGATTTTTTTCCCCTACAACAGATTACAGTAAAATCTTAAATGGATCTTTAACAGTTTCTTGCGAGTATGCATTTAAGTACGAGTATTTTTAAGCATTAGCGGATAATTAATACGATTTACATTCAGAATGCTCAATACTTTAACCGCGAAATGTTGTGTTCGCTCTGCTTTGCCATGGCAAGCCATTGATTGCAATGAAACTGGAAGCACCGTTGAGCTAGGTTGAGTAAATATTTAATGGCTAAATTGAGTTGAGGCTTGGATAAAAGAAAGCTTCGGGTTTTTTTTTGTTGGGTGTTGTTCAAGCCAAAGCATTCATCGGAAGCCCCCAAAAGCTTCAAAGCTGTCTGTCCCGTCTCGCCGGCTGATTGGTGGTCCCGCGCCGATCCTCGAGCGATCGATGCCGTGCCGCACAGACGATCACGTTTACATTTTGCGGCTCCACTTGCCACTTGGCCAAGTGCATTTCGAACGTGGTTAGCATTGCGCGCACACAGGCAAAGGGCTGGCCAACTTTAATCAGATGCTCGGCAATGGCGCGCGCATGCCACCCACAAATGCCCTCTGCTCCACGACCCTCCCTGGAGGGGGGTGGAGCGGCAAGTGTGGAGCGGCAGTCGCGGCATTGCGACCACTGGCATGGTTGCGATGGCGTACATGATGAAAAAAATTTAGTCAGACAGTGGTGTCGTATGTGAAAAAGCACCATAAAACGGACGGGCAGGCGTACCCTCCAGCTCCGAGAGAGCTTTCCTCTAGGGGGGTAGAAGAGTAAGCTCTGTCGCAGACTGCAGCGCCTGCGCGCCGTTACCTGACCGTTACGAGACTCTGCTGTTGTTGTAGGATGGTGGAAGTGGTGGAACATATGCTTGTGGGTGCTATCAGCTTGAGTTCCACGGGGAGCTGAGCGCGAGCGGTTTGGGGGGCGCCGGGGGCGGGCTTGGTGACTGACTGATTGACAGACATTGAACATTGAGAGAGAGAGAGTAATTGTGGGTGACAGAGGGTGAGGGTGGGTGAGAGTGTGACTGGTGGCAGGGTGATTGAGGAGGGTGGTGAGGAAATAGAAGAAGATGGGCTCGTGGTGAGTTGAGGTGAAATCATATAAATCAAAGCGGAAATCGTGTTGGAAGTTGAACGAAAAGCTGCGCGCTCAGGGTATTCAGGCTATTCAAGCCGATATATATGGGGAATGAGATAATAATTTCAAACAAAAATTAAACTGAACAAAATAAAGGCGAAGGCTGATTGTTCTCGAGTTGGTTTTGCTTTTGTTTTGATTCTTTGGTCACTCTTTGGCTTTCCTTAACTTGGTTTTCTCTTTGCAATATTCAACAACCAATACCAATGTTTAGTTAGATAGCGCTTTGGGCTATATATTGGTAAAGTCTTTGATATTAATTTAGTGCTTTTTGTATTGTGAGGAATCTATGGATTGGAAGCTTGGCCCACAATATTCGGGTCTTTCAACGATAGATACTATATGCAGCTATATTCAAATTTATAGCATGTTTTTTTATATCTGTTCGCGCCTACATGTAGTAAAAATGTATCTTTGTTATTTATGACCTGGACTTTGAGCTAAGTGTAAGGGGGGCTAATGATTCAGTATCTGTTTTAAATATGTATCTTTGTATACTTTCAGTGTATGTATGTCCGGGTATATGCACTTGCGACGTGACTAATCAAGAGATCAAAAGATCATGTGCGATCATCCATAGTGACGAGTGCATATACTATTTGTATCTATTCTACAAGTGTGTGTCTCTATGTTTCGGTTTGATAGAAAGTTAGTAAAAAGAGTCATAAGATTAGTAGAGTGAGTTAGTTAAACAGATAGAGAATTTACAGAGATACATAACAGAATTAGAGAGCGAGAGAGACAAAGGAAATATATATAGAGAGAGAGAGAGAGAGAATGTGGGCGCAGAAGGTGGGGAGGGAGGGGGCGTTAGATGTTGGAACTACAAAAAGTACTAAATTAAAAAATATTTATCTTTGCACTACAAATCCATATATGGTGTGATTGCAAATTCATTTCAATCGATTTCATTGCCTGTGTTTCGAAAGTAATTTGTTGTTTGTTTTGGTATTTGTATTCTTCATAAACTTTGAAACGCATTAACCGTCAATCAATCATATCATTCAATCAAATACTGGTTATAAGAATATTTTCAACATTCACAAACCAAAATCGGTTATGTATACATATGTGTGGATATTATAGATAAGTATATTTGTCATCGAACAATCAAACATAACAAAAAAGCGTAAACTATACAAAAAATTAAACGTTAAATCGAACTCAAATCAAATGGTGTTTAATCATTGCATAATATTTGCCAAGTATTGTGGGATAGATAAAGGGATATCCGGATACAGAGAGAGAGAGAGTTAGATTGAGGGAGGGAGTATAGTATAGTGTGTGTAGCACCAAGATAGGCCGACTCCCAGCTAGAGCGAGCGAGCGAGCGAGAGCAATAGAGAGCGAGTAGGCAGGAGCGAACTAAGGATTCGGTGCGCAACTGTACTGTTTCTGGGGACTTACCTTGTGCCAGAAAGCACTTGAGAACATGCTGGACAGCTGAACGGAAATTCCTTGCGCTTAAAGCATGTTGCAATCAACTAAAGCCAGTACGAAGATAAATATTAAATTGTACAAATGCGTGAGGGAGGAGCAGTGCAAGAGTGAGATTGGAAGTGGTTAAGAGTTGTAAGAGAATAAACAGATCTAAGCTAAAAGGTTAATATTGAAAGGTTAAGAGTAAATTTAGCTAGAGATATTATGGTAAAAATGTTTGTTATTTATTAGCCAATTTTCAAGAATACAAATGAAAAAGATTCAAATGCGCTTAGTATACAAACGTCGAGTCGACTACTCGATCTCAAGTGGATAACCATTACTATAAGTCATAATATTAATTCATAATCCAAAAACTCAAATCATAAGCTATATAATTCGATTCGTTTAACTCTATCACTAGCATGACAATGAGAATTGAGTCCCATTCAATTTCATAATGTGGATGTGGATGGGGATTGGATTGGATTTGGCTAGGGGTATGAGGAAGTAGTCTTCTACTTACTAACTAATTATCACTTGTTGAATACAAACCAAAGGGAGCACGGGTGGCGTGACGACTGATTCTTTATACAGTTTGTGGGCAAGGTAATGATGCGACTATACTAAGGTCGATATCGATAAGTACCCAAAGAATCGATTCCAATGTTTATTTGGGGTACGTGATATGATGAGGTCGGGAGCTGATCTAGAACCGATTAAAGCTTAATAACTAATGCAACATGAAGTTCTCTCCTTTGACTTTGGAATAAACAGGATGAGCAAATATTCCACACTTCCCTTACGTTAGATTCGTGTTGGTAAATACTTTTGGATGAACATTGCTGGAGTTGGAGTATTGGAGGTATTTACAAACCAATGGTGTTGGCGAGTTATTCCAAGTTTACATATGATATAGTTGGATGTTTATGCATAAACATATTTATGTGTGTGTGAATCGATTATGGACTTGGTTTTGGTTTATCCCTCTTCTGGGGCATTTACAAATGTAAGTAACAACGAAAATAAAATGTAACTACAATTCCTACTTAAGCGCTACATGCTTCAGCTTACTTTAGCATCAACAACACATGCAATTCAAATAACGAGTACTCGTACTGTGACTCGAATTCGAACACACTCGTTCGACTCTACTCGTTGCACGCAGTGCATCCAAAGCTCGCATACCGTGTACGTGTAAGTGTACGTGTACTAGTGTTAGTGTGTTCAGTGTGTTAGTGTGAATAGGGGAAGCCTTCGGTCTGTGGAAGCTTTGGCTATCGAACTATGTAGGTGTTATTCAAACTACTCAATGCTCGTTTCGGCTTCAGATCAGATCATCGAAAACTGTGCTTCAAACGTACAAAATGAAATATTCAAGCTACAAATCATATGTTTACAGAGAGAGATAGAGACAGAGAGCGAGAGATTTCAGAGTTGTATGTGTGTGGCGTTTGAGTGTGTGTGTGTGTGTGTGTGTGGGCGTGGGTGATCCTAGCAACACTTTCTATCTGTTGAGCAATTGACCCATTAGCCAGGACACTGCCACTGCGATGGTAATTATGAGATGCAACTGGTGGCCATGAGAGTATAAATCTTTACTAGAATTGCACATATCTTCCTCACAAAAGCACATATGTCCATTGCCTGAACTTTCCATCATGCACACGTGATCGACCATGAATAAATTGATCTGTAACTGTGACGTACACATGCGGCGCACCACCTCGTAGGCTGCGGAAGAGAGACGAAAGAGAGAAACAAACACATAGAGCACACAAGTCCATAGAACGGTGTTAATCAATCAGTTAAAGATCAGAGATGCTTCGGCAGGAGTACAGGTTGAGGTACAGTTGTGTCTGGCTCGCGTTGGGGTACGCTACTCACGTGATCTCTGATGGCGGACCATTTTCACACAGCAACCGTTGCAGGTCATTAGGGGTGGCTGGTCCCTCGGCAGAGCCGTATAGTTGAATGGATCCTAAGGTGTTTTCCAAAAATGTGTTCATTTATCAGATATTTTCTTTTTAGTTTGATTTGCACTCACCTTGCAGCGGGCATCTGTCCAAGAATCGCATTCGTAGCAGTAAATCGATCGCGCTAGATGAAAATATTATATCCATTAATATCCCGTTCTTCATAAGCAGATCTTCTTGGTAAATCTCTGCACTAGTTTGGGGTTAGATTTGTTTTGAGTACAGTAACGCCAAAATAAAACATGCAACACACGAAAAGCATGCCAAAAAGTTCTCAAAGCAGGCCACAAATATTTATCAAAAAAATCTTCAAGTGTTTCAACTATAATTTGGGTTTGTGGTGTGGAATAATTTTTGGTATAAAGTAGAGATCGTGTTTCAAAATATTGTACAAATCATAAGAAACAACTGTACGCTACAAGGTGCCAAGAGAAAGTGATAGAAAACTGTTTTTATTGGGTTGCAGGATAGATCTTACGGGTACATTGTTTTTTCTAAGGCATGCACACACAAACAAGACACACCTACAAATACTTAGTATAAAAGAGAGGTAATCTTAGGTACAGTTTTTGTCAATGCTTCAAGACAATTGCAAGTTGGATACCATTAAAGCGCAATTGAATAGAATAATGCTGAAAATGTGTGAGGTTATATCTATCGAATCGAAAAGCTCGGTTCTGATTCGGTTTGGTTATTCTTTATCGATGAGATAGTCAGCATCTAAACTTACAAGTGCCTTGAATTTCTATATTGAACTGCACACAAAATACTAAAGAATTAAAGATGGATTTACATAGGATTTCGGCTTGCACTTGGGAGTGCGAAACGGATCGATAGGTAAGTTCGGAGGAAATCATAAAAAGAAATGCAAAGAAGCCCTGCCGTGGTGCAGAATAAACTTAGAGAGAACAGTGCAAAAGAAAGAAAGTGAGGAAGGAGAAAAGAGTAGCCCAACGATCTTGCTGGATGGCTATGGCAAAGCTTTGAAGAAAGCAATCGATCGGATCGGTCGATTGAACTTTGGATAGGAAAACAAAAAGATCTTAAATAACATTGATAGTACACAAAATATTCCTTATTCATGGCGCCCCAAAATGAACCGATTTGAGTTTGTTAGAGATAGAATATACATATACTTATGCATGACTCTTAGTATTTCATAATTTGTTCTTTGTTTTTTGTTTTCTTTTGGCAAAAAGGTAATTGATTGTTTTAAGCAAATTGTTTCTGTTTTGGAAAGACAATGGACTCATACTTTGGCATTCGGCTGAGGCCTGCGGAATCCATATGAGAGTTATAAATCCGAATATGGCTGCAAATAAACAATGAAAGAGAAGAGAGCAAAGTAGAAGAGGGCAGTAGAAGGAGTGTAAAACGAAAAACCAAACGTAGAGGGGTGGAAAACCGAGGGCGGAAAACACCCAAGGCAGGTACAGTCCTGCCTGCGGGCAGTCTTCGACTAGCTAGGGAATCGTGTGGGTTGTATATAGGTATATAGCAAAAGAATTGGGTGAAATGCTAACGTTGTTACTTTCTTCCAATGCCATTTCCCATTCCCCAACCTACTCGACAGAGACAGTGTTGTAAGAGGCACAAAAGAGAATACAATTTACAAATTACGTTTAAATGTACGAGTATTTGGTGTGGACTTCACTGCAACGCAAGAGGCATACATGTCGTGTTGTTGGATGTGACCGGGGATATGCATATATGTATATAGTATATATAGATTTATATTGTATATACGGGTTTATATAGAGTGTAAAGAGTACAGTACAGCTTCTTACAATCGACAGAACGGCATTTACAATCAACGGCACGTACGAAACCAAACCAAAAACCAATACCAAACCCAAATGGAACGCAACAATTTTCGTTTGACTTTTTTACAGGGGATTTTCTTTTAGTTCGGTACAAAAAGGAAACAAGGGAATTTTGTTAATGTGAAAAAGAATAGGGGAAATCATAGGCAAAATGAAACCATTTCGATATCAAAACTGAAACTTACTTGGAAAACAATTATCGGTTGTAGCGAATTTAGCCAATGCCAAAAAAACTTTATTTATTTTCGTTACAGATGGAAATGAAACAAATAAAAGAAAAATGTAAAGAATGCTTTTGATCGAAAGTAATTGAATGGTTAATGGTCTATCTACCAGCTAGAAAAACCAAACAAAAAGAAGCAAATCAATCATCTAGGCTCCCAATCTAAACAGCTTCGATTCGATCCATCGGATCGCACTTGGTAGGCGCCTACGAGTATTTCAATACGTTCGGTGTGTGGTATGAGATGATGAGTGAAAGACGCTTTTCCTAAACCTAAACCAAGAAGAGTATTTCCATATCTCCCCTCTTTCTCCCCGTTAGTCTGCCTGTCTTACTCGTCTATTTGTCGTCTGAAAACCCTGCTAAAAGCCATAACATCATGCCTAAGGCTCTCCTCTGCTCTGTGGTTTCTTCAAGCTAATATCTATATGTTTATTGGATAATTTCTTAGTCAGTTCTTTGATCTGGGTGCTGTCTGTTGATGGTCTACATATGTATAAAGCGGATGGATGACTCTTATGGGCTGATGGTTTTTCCCTGCTTCCGTTTATCATTCGATTCGATTCGCTCGCTGTTGACCTTTGTCCATAAACAATCTTATGGCTATGCCCCTCTTTATGTCTGTGTATAATGGTTATCTGATGTACAATTAATTGGATGAGTGAAGGGTTTACCTGTGATAGCCAACAGCCAGTTGCCGATTGCATTTCCCTTTTCTCTCCACATCTTAAGTGTCCTGGCGCGTCCTGGCACCTCCTTAGCTCTCTCAACTGGGAGCTACGAGATATTATAGTGATTGTTTGGAGAGGATATATATCTTATCTGAAACCTACTTGGAAATGCGGATGATCTAGATGTCTTCGACTGGCAAGTGTCCACAATGGTGCACTCCTCCACTCAGGTCCGGCTCCTGCCTCTAAGCATTTTGATGCCGTCACTAAAATGAAGGGAAAGGGTTAGAATATTATATTTTACATAATCATAAACAAATGGCCCATTCCATGCGACATTCCATAACAATATTGACTTTAATCCATGGAACATCATAAAAGAAACACTTCCACTCTATTTATAGCTCTCCCTTGTCCATTGGCCCCTCTCCGTATTTATAGCTAGTTCCAGCTGAGAATTTGTCACACAAAAATTAACACTTTCCGCGCTTTTGGGAGCCATCCTCTGGTTGCCTGCACTTTATGGCCCCCTCTCCATGGACCACGACGGAGCGGTATACCGAAAATGAATTATGGCTCGGTTCTAAATTTATTTTGACACTTTAAGTTCTCCTCCCCCATCGCCCTCACATGCGTACGTCAATATGACAATATAAATATGCGGAGATACGAGTATACTCTATATATAGATGGTATAGATGGAAGTGGATCAAAAAGACCAATCTATAAATAGCGGCACATAACCTCTAATAAGTGTTCTAGGTCAACCGAACGGGTCTAGGGTCGTCTTTGGAGTAGGAGGGGCTCGGTTATGCTGGATGTCAATTCAATTCATGGCTGCTGGTGCTTTTATCCCAAAAATGTAACACTATTTATCACATATTGTTTGAGTTTATTGTGGCTTTTCTTTTTCGCATTGAACTTTGGCAAAGCGTCAAAATTTTATCACAAAAACAGTGGCCGAGTGGATGAGATGGGATGTAGCGGCAGACAGAACTATTTATATTTATATGTGTGCCACTGCTTAGGAAACGCTCAAGCGAGAAGAGGAAGCTATGGCTGATCGACTGACAGATACCCTGTCATTCAACTACATACTTGCGGTGCCAGAGAGAGACCATTTTAAAAAATACCCCAAAATATTGCCATTTGCTGTATGTCATGTCTACATCACCCTTAAGCTAAATCCATCCACCCCATAAACCAATGGGTAAAAGGCACACAAGTGTCGCACAATCTCTTTGATTTTTTTTCAGGTTAAGGTTTTGCTTGGCACCGCTAAATTTAGCACAATTTGCCGCCAATATTGACTCCACTGCAGTGAGCCAGTGCCACCATCGCAACGCCACCCCATCGCCATCGCCATCCCCATCGTCATACACATTCACCTTCACATCACCATCCGCAGAAAGAAATAGCTGCAGCCGGAGGCCCGGTATGTGGGTCAGAGTGCGGTTCACTGTCCTGTCCTCCTGTTCAACAAGTGTTTGCAATGCTGTTGATCGCATTTCAGGGGCCATTTATCACATATTAATGGCTATATAACGAGTTAATTGCATGGATGGGGATGGTCATATGCGGGATTACAAAGGGGACTGTAAGCGAGCGGATTTGCTGGCTTCTCTCTGGTTTGGGGGGTGGCTATGGCTACGACTATGGCTATGGCTACGGCTACCCTTTCGAGCACGAGTAGTTTTTGCTTTAATTACTTGCCTTGTTGCCGTGGCTCCTAACTGAATTATAGTGGCATTTTGCTGGGGACAGTTTATGGCATAGGCATAGGACGTACGCCGAGACACGCTCGAGTATTGATTTTGTGTTTACACCGTGCTGCAGCACACAGCACACAGCTCTCCTCGCCTCTCTCTCCGCTTGCCACTTGCAACACTTTCCACCTTCCACTCTGGGCTTTCGTCCCCTTCTCAGTTGTCGATGGTTTCTCGTTTCATAATAAGTTTTGCATCGATTATCCACCGTCGGAATGTGGCTTGGGGTATGCCCTAAATACGGCACAGTACAATTTGCAGGCGGTCGCTTTTTCTTGCCTTTAATTTCTATGACTTTAATTTTTCGTTTCGGGCCAAGCCACGCATTGAATTTCGTATTGATTTGGCTCACAACACTTTAAGGCCTTGTTTTGGCTGATTTGCTAGCCTTTAAATTTGTTTCAATTCACTTCATTTGATTTCGAATCGTTTGATTCGTTATTTTTTGTTAATTTTTAAATTGATTTATTGTTTTTTTTTGTGGTAATTTTGCACGTTTTCCCGTTTTTCCTTGTAAACTTTTTAGAGGGCAACACGCAGTGGAACGGCAACAACGACGACTGACAAAGAGGAGAGGCCATGGATTTTCCGATTTTCCGCACGCCCAGTGTTGGAAACCTGCCTGTTTGCATAGAGAGCGAGCTTTTAGCATAAGCTTTTGGGCGCGCGCAAGTTTTGAAAGCGGAAATAGAGAGAGCTTGAGAAATGTACACAAAGTATTCTTCGACTTAGTTTAGTTAACAAAATGTTATTTTTTTAAATATCAGATCGACGTTCCATTAATTAGTTCCAATATTTGTTTCCATTTTATTGTGAACTCATGAGAATACATGTACTTTGTGCGGTTGATTGCATTTCTTTTTAGCACTGCTTAAGAGTATAAGTATAAGTATTAGTTAGATAAAAAATGAACATTGCATAAATAAATACATAAATAGACACGATCGAGAAGTACAAGAACACAGAAATAATATGACAGTATAGACACTGAAATGAATGAGTTAGGGACGTGGGGCGAAACATCAAAAATCTGTTTCGCTCGTTCCGCTTCTTGTTCTTCTACGCCTCTCTTTCTCTCCTTGGCACGATTCCCGCTTCCACTTGCTGGTAGCACACCGCCGGAGCTTAAGATCCTTTTGTCCCTAAGCATAGTCCCGTGTACCCTCCAGCTTGCGCAGCTGTTGGCGAAATGCAAGAGAATTGAGGAGTGTATTAGTGTTGGGGGCTGTTTCGACTCCAACGATAAGTTATGGTATGGTATTTACAAGTGCATGTGTATGTGTGTGTGTTTGTGGTGTCAGTGTGTGTGTGTTCGAGCGAAAGTGCATACACTCAATAGAAGTAATCTTCGCTCCAGGCGCCTATCAATCGGACTCTCACCTCACGTTCGTCGGCATGCGTGCGGTACTTATCGGCCGCCTCCGCCGTCTTCGGCACCGGCTTCGCCTCCAGCACCTGAGTGTAGATCAGGGCAGCGGCCACGCCTCCCAGTATTGGTCCAGCCCAGTACACCCAGTGGGAGGTCCAGTTGTCCGTGGCAAAGGCCGTGCCCACCGTTCGTGCGGGATTCATGCTGGCTCCCGTGTACCGGATGGTGCCCAGATGACCCAGGGTCACGGCCATGCCAATGGCCAATGGCGCCGTATAGCGCGAGTCCGGCTTGTGGGGATCGCAGGCCCCAAACACTGTGAGCACCAGCAGGAGCCCCAGGAAGAACTCAATGCCCAGACCCTGCAGCTCTGTGATGTTCTGCGCCAAACTCGTGTGTCCCAGGCCATTGTAGTAGTCCCTATCGATGAGGATCTGTGTGTGGGGAGAAAGTCGAAATTCGATAAGAATTGCAGCTGCTATTGGATACAAGTACGAGTATTTATGTTAAATGGTCTGTGCAAGGCTACGATAATGAAATTTCTTATCGTCATGACATCATACATTCTTAACATTGAGAACAGACCCATTCTCATCCACTCAAAGAGTAATGGGGCAATCAAAACCCGCAAAAGATAATGTCTAAAACAAACACGAGCATTTTGAGGCCTACTTAAACTTAATAAGCCTCTGGGATTAACCCTCAATGGGTTCTACTTCCAGTATACCATCCCTTAAGTATATTCAATTCCTTTTACTTACACGGACAGCTGCTGTTCCTGCAATGGCACCCAGACACTGGAAGACAATGTAGAACAGGGCACGCAGGAAACTGATTCGTCCTGCCACCAGCATGCCGACAGTTACGGCCGGATTCACATGTCCGCCGCTCAGGTGACCCACAATCTGAGAGGGAAAACAATGAGTATTGATTGGATTGGATCTTCTGTTTGATATGCGACTTACCGTGATGGCCATGAAGATGGAGAGACCAAAGGCCAAGGCCTTGAAGGTGCCATCCTCCACTTGGGTGCAGGCACCGCAGGCGAAAAAGTTGAGGATGAGAGTGCCCAGGAACTCCCCGATCAGGGCCTGCCACAGACGCAGCTCCTTTGACTTGAGCTCATTGAGGCCCAGCGAGTACTCGAACTTTCCCATCTTCTGCGATCAACGTTCCAACAGGGACTGACGACGGGGCTAAAAGACACGGAGAAGACTTTGCTTAGCTTGGCTCCGACTGCCATTCGTAATTAATGCATAAACCCCCCGATCCGAATTGGAAATGGCAATGGCTGTGGCCAATTGTCAGACAAGAGCTGAGTATGGATTAAGTGTGGACATTAGATTGGCCTTAGGTGACAGCCTCGTTGCCTGCACTTCCGTTGCATTCGACTCGACGCCTAATTTGCTGACACTTTTGTCTGGTTTGCAATTAACATAAATATGTACGAGTACAAATGCATGTATTTACTGCCACTGAATCTATGGCAGAGGTTAAAATATTCAAGAAATTCCAAAATTCTGGACAATATTTGCATCTCCAAGACAGCCCACTGTCGGGCTGCGTATAATTGGGGCCCCTTATCAGAAATTTATCAGCTGCATTTGTGCAAACAAAAAAAAAGCAGGAAAAAAGGTATATTTAATTGGCAACAAGTCGTAAAATTGAGGTAAATATTTAAGCACAACACCAGCGGCGTAACGTGAAGTGAACAACACTTGATAGCTGATTCGAGAGTTGGAGCTGCGGCGGGGGATTGGGGATTAGGCCTGTTCTCCCCGCTCCTCTACAGTGGATTCGGTTTGCTCTGGCGACTCTTATATGGCACATTGCGGTCACGAACATTCGTCAGTCAGGCCCAAAAATGGGCTAAAACTCGTTGACCATGCCCCCACATCAGATATCAGACACACACACACACACACACGTTTATATTCTATTTGCAATTTGTCTTTGCCATCAATCTGGCGATCGTTCAATGTTAATTCTCATTTTCTATGCTCACATAATATTTTCAAGCTTTTTCTTTAATGCAATCTTAATGAATTTTTGTTTTATTTGCGTCATTTATGCGGCCAGCCGTAGATACGACGAGCGCTCTGATACGGTTTGCGATCTCCCATCTATGATACTTTTTTAATTGGAACTGGATGAGCAGATAGCAATTGGGTATTGACTTAAGGTTGGGCCTTTGAGAATACCTTGCAATGTTAGCCAGAACCAGCCCACACAGTCGTTTGCATTGACTGCCAATACTCGTATTTGTCATCGTCGCTTGCTAATCATCATTCTTTTCATCCATTGTAGAATAATACATTTATTCTATAATTTCAACACACAATTATAAAGTTAATTGGTTTCCATGAAGTGTAATTTTGATTGGGAAACATTCCAGAGGTGAGAAAAACACCAGCCCTCCCATCTTCTTGGGCCCCTATCCGGATGAGTTGTACGACAAATATGTTGGAACAGAATTAAAAATCAAGACAATTAATCAGCTCTGATTAAAGTTTGCTTAGCGATTGTTTTCGGCCAGCTTAAGTGATAATAGAATTGCAATTTATGGACGATAGGCAACGGCTATAATTGAAAACAATACCTTAACCCCATTGTTTGACTACCAGCAGTCTTTTTTTTTTTGTTCCTGTTCCACTGCGACTGCGAATACGAATACGAGTGCGAGATATTTCTATTTTGGAATTTTCAGTGGCGCGGTAATGGGGCTGTCCGTGCTAATTCGCACAATATCGGAACAATAAAGCAAAAGTTTGCTCAACAAATTAGCACAAACGGCGAGAACGAAACACACAAAATTCACACAAATTTTTGCACACCCAATTGAATGGCGAACAAAATGCATTTTGACGCATTTCAGTGTGATTTGCAGGCTTGTAAGGTATTTTCAGTGGCACGAAACGTGTACGAATACACTTGGGGTTCATGAACCTGAACTCTCGGACCTGAACTCGGAACTGTCTTGATTGCCATTAAATTTAATTCATACGCAAATCATGAGATATGTCGTTAAGAAAATTCTGCCTCCAAACAAAGATGTTTGCCATTAATTTAAGAGATATCAAGGGGAATAAATCTTCTGTTGTTGATGGGCCCTGGATGACGCAATGTCTTCGTAGGCACGGAACAGGTGTCAAAATTGTATAGGCTTTGTTTTTAGCATTTAGTATTTGCTTTAATACTGTCATACTTTTGTTTAAAAAGTTGTTCAAAAATTCTAATTAAAATATACTGTATAGTATATGCCGCAAATGGCTATTTATGCGGTTTCACGACACTGTGGAATATTTATAAATAGCTCCTCATTCTCATAGATCATCGGTTTGCTATGGTCTCATACCGTTATAAAGAAGCTCAATCGCTCCAGTTAGATCATCTCGACCTAGCCTCAATTGGCAGTGTCTGCTGATGGCATGCATTCGCAATTGTTGGTCGCAACTTTGTCACTTAAAAAGCCATAAAACTTAGTTAACTGGAATTGGTATGCAGCCATAGTCATCGAAAGCGAAGCTAGCTAATCGCGGCAACTCCTACACACGTTTTCAGAGCGAGTGCCGTGTCACAGTGGAGTCACAGTAATCGCAACGGTCGGTCGGCGGTTTAAGGGTCGGGGGATCCAATTATGAAATCATTTCACTTTTCAAATTGCTGACCACCAAACCAGAAAATTGTGACCACCTATCAATCATCTAACATGGGTGTCACAGAGAGACGGATAGCGGAGGACCCCCGCGGGCCATTAGCCATTACCATATCACGGCATGGCTGCGGCTGTGGCTGTAGCCTGCTCGTAATTAAATCAGACAATAGAAAATATATAGAAATCTTAAAAGCTTATATAGATTACACGACCGAATCATTTCACGCTACGCTGAGCTCAAAGCCAAACACAAAGTCACAATATTCGCTATATTTTGGCAGCCACTGGCTCTTCTACAATATAGAAAATCATATATACGATTTCTCTCGGGTTTTATTTCCCCGAATTTTGCAGAGACCAAGAGTATAATTCTATATAATTTCTATACTTTTACGATTGACACATGTCTTTTCATCTGTTTATTTGATCGTTGGCGGGGGGCAAAGAAAGGCCGACTGAGAAAAGAGTTGAAAGGTGGAGACGGATAAGCATGGAGAACTTCCAACCTGAGGGCCCCTCGAAACGAATGAAGGAAATGGAGTAACAGCATCATCTGCTACCACTACAGTGGAGACTGGCCACAGAGCAATCATTAGATGGTTTACCTTGTTTTTTTTTCTGGCTTCCACACACTTGGCACCTTTGCACTTGCTAACAGATTCACTTCTACACTCAACAGCAAAAGACAACACTCACATACGCTTACACTCGACAACAAAACAGATGCTGGTTACTTTTATTTTTGGGGCCAGGAATCGGTTCGCTTGGAGGCGATCCGCGCACTTGGACTCGACGAAAATGAATGCGCGCCAGCATTAAAGTCAAAAACAACCGAGGCCCCAAAAGACGAAACGACGCGACGACGCGACGACGACGACGGCACCGATCGCGAGGGAAAAGAGTCGGCAATTCTCTCTCGCAGTGCACTTCATGCTGCGCGTCGACTGAGCATAAAGGAGAGCCTAGGTTGAAACTCCGGCTTAGCCGCGACACAAACCAAAGCAAATAATAATTAAATCGTTAAACAAAATCAGCGGAAAGCAATTGAAAAACATTTTATGGCATGCAAATATCAATTGTGAAATTGATACAACCACCCACCCAACCGGGCCATCCAGCCAGCCAACCCCCCATTAGCGTCAGCAGGTGACGTTTGCAGAAAATTTTCCATCTATCGCTTATCATCGGGACAGAAATCATGTCTTCTCTTAATTAATTTAGGGCCCGGCACACACTCGAGGGAGCCCCAAGACCTTTCCATTACTGGATGAATTGGGGGGCATAAAACGTTGAAATCAAAGCACAGCCACATTCACTTCACTCACAGGTTGTGGGTGGAGGGGATTTGGAAGGTGCATTCAACTCTATTTATGAGGTATTAAGGAATATTTAAGCATAAATATATTATATTTCTGTAAATATATAGCATATCTAAGGGGAATGACTGTTCAAAGCGAAGCACACTTTTATGAGGTGCGGCATGTAAGAAATCACGTGTAGAATCCGCCTGTTACACGACGGGCGGGCGATATTTTACACCAACATTTTCGCAGATTTAATGCAGAAATGCAATGCACTTGCCAGGGGGAATGCGAGTGAAAAATCCACTCAAAAGCCCCCATTAGATATGGATCTTTTTTTTTCTAATTTCCATACCTTTATTCCCCTTAGTGCAGAAAGGGTAAATCAAAGCCACATTTCATTTGAAAGAAAATGTATGCCCAAGCTGGCCACACTTGACACCTGACAGGACCAACGCCCACTTTTGAGACACGGAAGGCCGTCCTTGACCGTCCTTGCCATGACATTGCGCTCCATTTGCATACAGGCCGGCGTATTCCCCGTGGATCCGGAGACCCCTCGCTATGAAATATGGCAAAAGCAAAGTAATTGTGCCTCCTCCTGACTGGCGAAATAATAAATTAGAATTGTGTTCTAAGGAAGCCATTAATTAAATCGGGCATACTTTGTTGTCAGCATTCAAAGCCATCGCGGAATGACGTGATGTAAAGGATAGGCCGTCTTCAGTGAGGAATGAGCTCTTAACTAATGGAAGTTCAGGATATCTTACTTATGGCTAGTGGATTGAATAGAGCTATACAAGTTTCTAATGACCGACTTGCCAGGATCCAGTATTCACATTTGCTATTCGCTGAACCGATTACTTTATTATTCCCTCTGTTCGATATCGTTTATTTGAACAGCTTTCTTATACGCTATAGTTATCCAAAGATCTTTTAATCCATTGGTACCATTTAGCTGTTTAATCAAGTGTACTTCCGCCCTATAAAAATTAGTCGTATCAATCCCATACCAAGATCGGACTATCTTAAATCGTTGAACTCCAGAGCTGGCAACAATTAATTTTTCAGCGCAACGCCACTCGCATTTTAAGTGGGGGTTCTATTTTTTGAAAATATCGCGGAAGCTTACACAAGTCTCACATGCAGCCAGCACATTTCGCTTTCGTTGGAGTGTGTCTGAAGCCCCCTTGTGACCCCCAGATTTGGGGCTTGCAAAAAAAAGGCTGAGCATCTGCGTTGGCTTATCAGCATCGGACGGCCAAGCAAATTTCCATCAATTGCTAGTTTTTATGTTCCCATTACCGTTCCCCATGTTAATGGGCACTCGATATATAACACGTACGCCATAAGTCAACAGCGGCCGTGCCTAAAACCAGCTAAAACTGAGAAAAAAAACCGCTCAAATCGCAAAGCGAAGCTGCGACAAAAAAATTTCTGTTCTTGATGTATTTTTATATAAAACAAAAAGCAATATCGCAACACGAAAGATGGGGCTATTACGAAGGCCGAAGCTGTTGATACTTTTTCCCCATTCGACACTAGGGAAATTTTATAGAACTGCGATATAAGCAAATAGTTACAGATAGATTCTATGGCATGGCTGAGTCCTACACAGTGGAAATGGAAATGGTTCCTTCTCGCTCTTCAGGCTGTCAAACTAAGTCGTATAGTAGTACTTCTACCCTCTGGCAGGGTATACATCAAAGTTGGGTAAACATAAATGGCAAATTCTGTACAAGCACCAAGTAGTGCTTGTGTCAATCAAGGCACTCGCTCTCTACTTTACTCTACCCAGTCGAGTGGTCCAGAGGAGGAAGAAAGAGAAGATTGAGTAGTGTAGTGTAGGTTTTTGTTAATTGCCTGCAATTTTGGACCGGCACGCGCTTCCCCGATCAGCCATCTTCTAGCCCCCATCACCGGCAGCAGGAAGTGCGCCTCGTGTGTGAGAATCAGCCTTTATTATATTTCTTTCATTCTCGTTTGCCTGATCATTGAACAGTACGAGTGCGAGTGTGCGAGTGGGGAATGCGAGACGCAGATCTTACCAGTTTACCGGCTCCAACGCCCGCATAGCACTTCTGATCTCTTGCAAATATATTTCCCACGGCGCATGCGCATGCGTGAAGACAACTCGAAGACAATGGCAACAGATACTCGTAGAGATACACTCAGCCCGAACCGTTAGTCATGGCTGCAGAGATGATGGAGTAGAAGTTGAAAATGTGCAAAACAAATAGCTCAACAACAATTTCGGAATTGGTCTTGAGCGGGGACATAGAGGTGGACGGGGACGTGGCTGTGGCTGGCCAAAAACAATAACGAGAAGAACCACAATGGCAGCGACAAACAGCCGTTTGTGTAGCCGCAAGCTGCGGCCTTATTGAATCATTATGAGTGATATATGTATGTACAGAGAAGGCTCCACGAAACCAACAGGGGAGTGTTTACAGAGAACCATAAAAAGGAGATTGAAAAGTGATAAGAGGGACTATGACTACTCTGAAGGTTCAGGTACAGAAGATTTGTTGTGGCGACTGGTGTGTCTACTCAGTCTCCACTGTACTGCAGCACATGTACCAACATGATGCGATGGCTGGGCAAACGGCTAGAGCAAAAGCCATAATCAGAGCGTTGGCAAAATTTGCATACCTTCGGAGTCGGACTTGGACACTCACGCATCGCCAGACACACACGCATACACTGACTCACACAAGTGTGCATACACTTGCGAACACAGTGACTACTAACAAAGATTGATGAAGTGTCAGGCGAGGGCGAGGGGCGGGGCGGCTCGGAGAGCACGAGACAGCTGTGACATTGACCTTTATTTGAATTTTTTTTCGGCTTGTGCCCAGCCTGAATCAATCACCCAATCACACCCTGCCATGCGTATTCCACCTGATTGATCCAATTTCGTTGGGTTACATATACATATTTCCACCGACTCATGTACGCTTATTGTTCGGCCCCTGCTGTGCTCCCGTGCAATTTATTCCGTTTATTAGCTGTCGCCCCCTACCCCCCTTACCCCTCCTACCCCACCAACCCAAGCATAATAACTGTACATAAGTACATCATTCCGCAGAGCGACACAACGACAAAGCCAACGCCAACGCCACAAAGCACACAAGATTAACATTATACTCTTCAAGAGGAGGGTATTATGATTTCCAGCAGAAGTTAGTTTCAATCACGAGGGTACACATGGTACACATATATTCCTGGAATAATCGAAGGACAATATTTGGTTTCATTAGCGTTTATAGTCTCTGAGACACATCGACTTGGCTCTTGATCCAGAAACAGCTCCTTTATGTGGTCTATAACGCTTCCTTCTGGGTCTTACACTCTATCCCAGATATACGTAACTCCCATGGAAACGATGGATCTGCTAGGGTATCTACATCTTCGACTTTCAAAGCCAGGCTTCCCCATTTGTCTAGCCTTTCTTTGGGATCTTTGTTGGCGTTTTGTTTCGTTGTTTTTTGCACATCAAGTGGGGTCTGTCGTGGATGCCTGGAAGCACACACGGTTACAGTTACACTTCCAAACTGTTTCAATGCCACTGGAAGAGTCTGGTCTGTCTGCCCCAGCCTCTGGGCTTTAGGCTTTATGATTGTTTTGTTGCTGCTGGCATTGTTTTCACAGCATCACAAGACGCAAGTGCAGAGAAAACAGATAATTGAACAAAATACAAATAACAATTGCTTTCTGGCAATTTTTGTTAACATTTTTGCATGGATTGTAATTACAACAAAAAATAATGCCAAAAGTGCATTCAGCTGGAGGGGAATGTTTCGATGGCCAAAGACCTTGCATCTCATTTTTTGAAGCACTCTGTCCAGGATGCTGCTCCTGCCGGCTGCTGGGTGTATTAAAGCCGATTAAATTGATTTATAGCTTCAATTGAATGTGGCATAAAATTCTACAATTACTGTTCAATTATTACTCAAAAAGAGAGAGCCAAGTGATAATGAGTCCCAGCGGAACACAAAGAGCAATCTTGCGGATTAAAACCGATTTCCTACATGAAGGGGCTGAGCATTGGTGCTGGGGGCGTATCCATATCAGATCTGCTGGTAATTCGACAGGCGGAATAGACCGAACAGACCCCCGCCGGTGGTCGTCCCCCGTTCGTGCCGTTTTAATGGCTAACTGGCATTAAATATAATTACTCATTAAGGCAGCAAAGTCGGTAATGTGAGGCTCCTCAGACCCCCGAATACTCGCAATTCCGTCTGAGTTTCGCTAACAGACATTCTCGTTATGGCCACAAACAAATATTGTACTCACTTCTGAGGAATTCGGCAAATGTCTTCTTTTATTTCGGGTCCCGTCGCCACTTGTTTTGTCAATAACTTGCAACTGTTGCTCTGTGGCCTGTTATGAATACTCGCCACAAGGTTCTTGCCATCAGCGCAAATCCATAATCAATATTAAAGCCGTGGAAAGTGGTTGAAAAGTGAAACTGATAAGGGGCCAGCCAGCCATAGCCCTTTAGCTAAAAAAGCGGCACTAATGAGCTATAAAAACAACTGGAAAGAAATCTCTTTACTCTTTAGTCTGAGGGGTTGGGGGGTGGGACAGTCACGTGCAACGGCTGTGGATTACCAGAACCAGAACCATGTTGAGGTTTGTGCGGCTCCACAGATAAGGTCTGTTTGAGGTGATAATACTGTCTGCAGGTTCGAAATTTGAGGTTCTGCATGACCGTCACAATTCGAATAATCAAGGTATTTTTACGGCCAGTCGAGGGCTATAAACCATACTCGTAGCACACACCACACACATCAAGTGGTTAAAATGGCGTGCGAAAGGCTTTCAGGCTGTGTGCAAACCTTCAAAATGGAAACTGAACTTTCCCTCATGCTCAAAACTAAAAGCACACTTCCATCCAGAGATTATTCTGGAATTTTCTTCGCTTACACTTGAACTACAGTGGATATTATCCACCCCACCCCTGGGGAAAACATAAATTATGATATTCCGTCCAGTGCGAACAGCCTCTCCCCTATTTCCATTCGATGAAGTCATCAGAGGACAGGTGGATTTGGATCCTTTCTTTAACCGCTGGACAAGCCCCGAAAAAATAAAATCTGACGTCGCTCTGCCACAGCTGACGCTGCCGCCGACGCCGACGCCGACGCCGACACCAGCGTCGCAGTACACAGCGACGCGGCGGCGCAGTCGACCGAGAGTATATCAGTTACAGGTAAGCGCGAGGTAGCGTTTATTTGCGCTCGAACAGCGAACGTGGTAGCACAGACTCAGAGACGGCGAAGAAAAGCGAAAAGCGAGACAGCTCAGTGGTTCGTGTCCAGGCTGAACTCAAAATAGAAATTCGAAAAGGAAATCGGTTTAATTTAATCGAATTTAATTGAAAATAACTCGTAGTAAAATCGAGTTATTGTCCGACGCGCTTTCCCATTCCATTTCGGTCCGGCGGAGAAGACATAATTGATAATTGCCATTGAGAAGAGCCCAGTGCGAACATAAACACGCCGAAGAAGGAAAAACATTCGTTCGAGTGAAATAGAAATTGAAATTGATTTGACAAAACTTCATTTGTTGCGCCATTCCCATTCCCCCTGGAGTGCCCGACAATTGTGCAACCTCAAGACTCTTAACCTTAACAATTACCATTTGGCCACAAAAGCTATTGGCACAATTCAGTTCGATTCAAGTGCCTGCCCCCAAACTCACTTTTACTCCGACAAAAACCAAAAATCAAACAAATCAAAAAAAAAACTCTATTCGAAAACGAAAGCAAAACAAAAGTTTGATTGAAGCGCCAACCGTCCCCCCACCCAGACGCCTTGCTAAACTCGAGCGGCAGCCCCCACCAGCGGTCCCCAGAAGACTACAAAATGGTTGAGAAAACAGGTGAGTGTGTGCCCGTGGAGGTGGATGTGGCTGGTGGAGAGTGCAGATTGGAGGCTGGACAGACCATGTGCGAAGGTTAATCGAATTTTTGGCTCAGGCGAAGGCGGGGAGTGTGCAAAATTGCTTTGTTTTTGGAGCAAATCTCAATGAAAATATTTGAAAATTGTGAAAGCTCTCTTGGGCTGAAAAACACCCACGGTTCTATCTCACAAGTGAGATGTATGTCCACCTGTGGGCGATGCTCGAGGGATTATAAACATTTTATTGGCATTTGCACATTTTAAATCAATTTTGATCATGAAATCAAACAAGTTTCAAGCAAATCATTGCAAAATTTCCATTATTAATTAGCAACACATTTTAGAACAGATTAGAAGAGTGTGACATGAATTTAGCACCACTTTTAGCTAATTTGTGGTAACATTTAGCACAATTTAATTTGTATTGAGATATGGGACAGTTTGAATTAAATTTGTTTGAATTTTTGTAATATAATTAGAGCTTGAACAATAAGTTTTATAACTGAGCAACAAATTTAATTGAAAACCATATTAAATTGGTTTCACTAAAAAGTGATTTAAAGCTCTAACCTCCTTTTACTGCCGTTTTAGTTTTCACTTTCACAACATACTCTCTTAATCGCCTCCACTATTAATCATCTTTAATAAGAAACTTCAAAGACCCTTTGATAAATCATCTTTTTGGGGGTCCATTCAATCGAAGTGAGGCGGCGGCCTGGGCTGCTGTCTCCGCCCATTATCGATACCGATAACGACATGATTGCCATACGATAATTTTCACAACGAAGCATGACAAAGACAGCAAATTAGCCCCGAAGCTATTTGTATGCCCTTTGCAGAGGGTATAATGATTCTGACCATCAGGAAGAAACCAAGGGATATTGAGAGATATCAGACAGAATGGTAGATATAACTATAACTTGGGTATTAGCGATAAGAATGACATCGAACGGTCCTTATAGGTATTTGTGAGCATCGGACTACTGGAAGAGTATTCAAAATCCTTCCTTTACCTAGTGCTTTGTACAGCTTTAGTTTTTGTGATGCTTGAACGTGGCTTCCGTGGCAAGTCTGTAACTGAAAGTTCGCATGACAGCCAAAGCCCCTAAAGAAAGAAAGAGGTGGCCGGCGGGAGAAAGAGCGGACATTGATAGGTAAACAACAGCAGAGGCTTCGTTTCAGTAATTTAAACAATGACGATCATGATCGTGATGATGACTTCCTCAACGAAAGAAATAAAACTACTTGCGAGAGTGAATGAACTACCAGCGAATCGAAATAGGAATAAAATGTACGATGGAATGAATCAGTTTGGGTCCCGAATCTTCAGATACTCTACCAAAAATGTCTTTGGGACACCAGTTGATGCGTTTTAAACTTCAGGTCAAAGTGGTTATAGCCCCTGAGAGGGTACGCGAGAGTCAAAGAAACCAATTAAGAGCCCCAAAAGGGTAACTAATGTGTTTTTCTCTTACGGATCCACCTTATTTGTGCAGCCCCAACAAGCAATTAATAAAGATCTTAATTGCATTTGTTGTGTGCGTATTTTAAGCGTTTCGATCTCCGGCGTCATGTCCGCCGCCCGACAAGCGATACCAAACACCGCGCGAATTGATAAAAATCGAAAATATTTGCCCAGAGCTGAAATTCGAATTCGTTTTCAGAGCAAGCTCCACCATAATTGAAATTCTTGGTTCCAGCTAATTAACGTCACACTGCACTGTTGCTGTTTGGACAATTGTTTAAACACAAAGTTCAATATTGGGTTTAAATATCAAATATTGTCAGTGCCTGCTGGAAAAAAGTGCGATATGGGAACAGTTTAAGGGCGAACGGAATGGTAGGGGCCGTCTTGGGGTATGGTAGGTGCGTGAGAATTGTGACGCTCAATGGCGCTGGAGTTCTATCGCACAAACGTGTTTATAATTTCTTCCCCTCGGAGCTTAATGTCTTTCCCGCCTCGTAATTCAATGCGTTGTCATCTTTGGCCAACATCGCTGGAAATTATACATGTTCAGGCTGACAGACGATGGAGAGATTCCGCTCCACCTGATGCTAGTTTCTGCTGTGTTTTTATGGAGAGTCGGATTCGTAGATATTAAATTACAGTAATAATCGTGAGCCAAGTTGACATGACATCACGGTGAAATTGTTTTTGCGTTGAGTTGATGGCATTCGAAACAGTAGCACACAAAAATACTGGGGACTCAGGAAACGTGTGTGTCCATATGCCATAGAAAAACTGTAGACAAGTGGCACAGTTAGTGCAGCGCAGTTCTCAATGGAAGATCAACTTGTCTGTTAATCGGATAGCTTATAATTAAGCTAATAAGCTGCCACTGGGGGGCATCAGCGCCAGCGCCAGCTCCAGCTCCAGCGAAGATGTTCGTTCGTTTTTTCTCATGGAAAGTTTTTGCAGTTGCGTCGTAGTTTAGAATTTACTCGTAAATGTTCTCTATTGCGCAAATCTGTATGTAGAAGCTGAAATTGACAGATCAGGGCATTTGTTGTGCATATTAATGATAGTCTCTAGCGGAAATATTATTGAAATTGAGATGAGCTTAGGAAGCAGTATGCTTCCGAAGGGATAATGACAAGCACAATATTCTCTCAGGCAATTCCTAGAAAAAAACCTTTGTTAGGGGTTTCCATTAATTCTTTAGCGTTTCCCTTAGCATGTCTCGCCTCATCCTAAATGGGAAGTCCCTCTAATAACAGCTTCCCCTTATGGTTCTACACAAATTATACAAATTATGCCGGTTAAATGGCCAAGTCATAAACCACTAACATCAATAAATTTCCCACTTATTTATGGGCATTGTTCGCGAGCCAGTTAAGGTGTCACATATTGTTAATCGGTCAAACGGCCATAAAGATATTTGCCCAAGTACTGGACCCACTCCTCCCTCGCAACAAGCAAAAACTGAATAGTCCCTGCCCCAGACCCAGACCCAGACCCAGACCCATATCCATAGCTCCGACCCGGTAAGCGTCGGCATGTGACTAATTAATTTATTGCAATTAATTAACGGTCAGCGAACAGGTTTCGATCTTTCTCTCTACTAGCCCATTGGAACGCAATGTATTGTTAATAAAATCATCACCTTAGTCGACAAAAGTGGTGCCCAAGGGTTGCGCAAACCCAAATGAATAATCCGATTAAATTGATTAATTATTATAGACGATACGATATACGGAATGAAAACAAACTGCGAGAACAGAACCTTTTGTTTTGCACTTATACAATTGGCAAGTGGGAAATTAACGCCAGTGTGTTTGCAGCAGAGAATAACAACAATAACAATAACAGATATATAAATACACACACGATTTGCATACGCACGTAAATAACCCACGTGATCAAGTTGTGTGCACGCACATTAGCCAGGCCGCGCCGCGCCGCGCCTTAAGCCTAACGGTACAGCAAAAGCTGCGCCGACACAAGTCGGCGATTAAATGCAGCTTTATTTGTCGCTGGAAGGGGTAGAGTAGAAGGCTTTCGATCTCTTTGTGGTGCGCTTCGGCTCTCCCTCTCTCCTCTAGCGTGTGAGTGCAGTCAGAGATCAAACCAAAGCGCAGCGGAAGACGGAAAGCTTAAGCTTCGAAGCTTACTTTCGTTTTCTTCATCGTTCAGGCATTTCCCAAAACAAAAGCATTTTTTCTGTGTATTAGTAGATTAGAACTCCGCCTTGCTTTATCCTTTCTGTCAGAGTGCTCGTTCTATTCATTTATTCATTAAAAAACATATGATATGGGAAAAACATAGGTAAATTAGCAAATGTATGCCAAATTCGCGTGTCTCCACCGAATTAATGAGTGGAAGGCAGGTAAAGAAGAGGTAAGAACAGGCGCTAGGCGATGACATTGCTCATGTTCTAATAATAAGCAGATAAGTCATGAGTCCCCCAATAAGCATAACAAGGCTGGGGATTCGGTAGCTAAGGGATATGGGTGTGCCTGTGCCAAGCCTTTAGCTTGGCCTCCAGCGAGAAGAAATGGCACGGAGGCCAGGGCCTGGCCCGGCACGTGTACCTCAGCCGGCCACGCCCCCACCTTGACTCTGTCTTTTGAGTGCATTGCTGAGTGCCCAAGGCTGTCACAAGAAGCACGGAAAGAAAAGGGATTGGTGCCCCATCCCAGATTTGCTTCTCCCAGTGTATGTTTTACGAGCTGCAGGATGTGTGGAGCCGCCATAGCGAGAAAGTCCATGTCGAGCGGATGTCCGCAGCCGCAGCCACATCAAGTTTATAGCAGTTGCAGCGGCTTTCTCCATAGCGTCTAAACATGAATTTAATGGCCCAAAGCCAAAGCTGGAGTGCCTTACTGGCATAGATTCCAGTCCCGTCCGAATAGGCCACATGCAATACTGTGGATGACTATATTTGGCTTGGAGCGGCGGCCAGTGACAGCGCCAGTGCCAGTGCCAGGGAGTTGCTAATTATACGGTAATATAACGCTTGTCCATTACGCAACTGAGCCAAATCGAACCTTAAATGGAGATCCTAAACTTTGGCTATCTGAAGGCACTCAGACTGAGCCCCAAGCTGACTCACAGCGTCTGCCGTTGCTTCTCTACGATTATCTTATCGGTCAGTCCGTCAGTCGGCCGGCGGGCAGTCAGTTTCACTGGCCATGGTCGTAAATCTTTAGGGAGAACGAGAGCCGAACCCCCCGGCACATGAAAGCGAGCCAGCCGCGAATCTGAGATTTTATCTAGTACATTGCGAAATACTAGAATAATCCCACTCGAATGGTTTCGTTTTGCATGAAAGGTAGATCTAGATTTCCAGGTGAAAGTGCTGAGATTTCTGGAAATTGTAAAATTGTTCTCTGTGTGTTCGTGTGTGTGTGTGGCGACCTTGACATTTGCAGGGCATTAATAAAAGGCTCTCTAATATGACGAGGACGGAATACCCTTTAATTTAGTACGTGTATAACAGTTGTATAACAGTCTTTCCAGTAGAACAAAAAATCGTATCTTATTATAATCTTTAAATGAGGAAAATGTAATTACACTGAGAAAATAATTAAATAGTAAAAAGAAATACTCATTTTCTTATAAAAAATGAAGAAATTAAATAAAATCACTTTGATTTAAATACAATATAACGTTTTTTAATAAAGCCCATATTTAATCAAAATTTAAGTTAATTTTGTGGGAATTATATTTAATTTAAATATGAAAATATTGTATTTCCACTCTCGGGGCAAATATTAAATATTTAAATCTAATTAATTAAATCTAAATATTAATCTAATTGACATGTAAATATTCAGGCTAAGGCTTTTTTCTCTGGCTGTAATGTAGTTTCATACCCTTTAGTTATTTCTCGTTATTTATCCTCACAATCTGTTTTATTCCAGAATTGATCTGCACCTGAATTACATTCATATCTTTAACATTGAGAGTCTTCTTCTCAAACGCCATTTACCCCTTGAAAGAGCATCAAACACCTGAAACCTTACCTGCAGAAAAGATCGGAATCTCTTCGAGTACGAATAAAACAGAAATTGTTTTGATCATCCTCGCTCGTTGTTGTTTTGTTTTGTTGTAGTTGTCAAACACGGAAGCAAAGCGAGAAAGAGAGTAAAGAGCAGGGCAGAAGCAGTAACAAAAACGAAGCCACTCTTTACCTGTTTTGAATTTCAAATTTCCGTTTGGCTGGGCAAAAAGAAAACGGGACAAAAAAGCTATGAAAAATCCAGTGTGGCTCCCGTTTGAGTGTGTACCGGGCACACAGGTACAGTTGTGTCAGTGGCACTTTATTCCGGTATGTGGGTCAGGCGAATCAACTTCTCTTCTGCTCTGACACTCCAGAACCAATTTGCGACCGATGACACATACGGATGGAATTTGTCGATTTCAAAGAGACAAAATGTTAAAAGTACTCTGGGCCTGTACCAGTAGATAGCGGAAGAACTCTGCGTTTGATGTCTGTCCCTGTCCCTGTCCCTGGGCCCATCCACTAATTAATTTCGTGTCAATCATGGCAATGGCATTGCGATTGATATGATTGATAACGCTGCAGATGGCGCTAACGTCCCCTCCCTTTTGGGGTAAATTATTGGAAATCAGAAATCTATTACAATCAATTCGTTTATTATCAATTAGTCATGGAGTTGCATGAGACAAATTAAAACCGAAATTAACACAAATAAATCTTCGTGTGGCAAATGTACAATATCTCTGCCTAAATCTGGCCTTGTCTGATGGATTGTTTTTGGCAAATAATGGTATCCACTCAATGCCTCGTCGGCACGCCCTCACCTTCCTTCCAATTGATGACTATTGTGTGTAATTGTTGTTATTATTATTATGGTTGTTTTTGATGTTTTTTCTTTACTTTTTGTTAATTCCATTTTTTAATGTGCCCGCCAGCCACGGTAATTTATTGGATTTCGCATTTTCTTCAGACCAATTTCAATGGCAAACAAAAGGCGTCTCAAGTTTTTTATTGTTGAGCATAAGCCCGGTGCGGTTCCAAGGATGTGCCAAGAAAGCCTACTACAACCTGCCCCCGCCGCCGCCCCGAAGGTTGTCAGGCGACCCAGACCCATCGCAGCCGAGCAATTTAGATTAGTTTTGGTTAACTCTCCCGCGATAAGAGGCCTATTTTTAGGTAGCACCAACTACTTTATCTTTATGGTGACTTTTTTATGTGGTTTGCTTCCTGAAACTAAAGCAGAACCAGAGGTAAAGATATAAAGCCCATCAATTATGAGACTGCTTTCAGTTGATAACTTAAGCAAGTAAGACCCCCAACAAGCCTATTCCACAAAGTCCCCCCCGACAATTATGTGCAAACCTGGTGGAAGGCAGCCGGAAAATGCATGGGGGGAAAACAGCTTAGAGTGAGTGACAACGGATGCCAGCGGATCCATCCAAGCTCAGAGCTGAGGCTCAGATGAGAGGCGCAACAAATTGCTAATAAATGTCTCGCAGGTTCCATTGAACTTGAATCGAGTCTCGAAATTGCAATTCGATTCGTGATTAATGCGGCGAGTGCTTGGCAGATGAAGTTATTAATTTCCCCGCCAAATTATTGATTGATTCAGCAATCGTTTCTGTTTGTCTCTCGTCAATGGCCGTGTAATTACGCCTGACGTTTTGTTATCTTTAATTAATTTCAATTAACATTTGTTTCTTAAACGGAATCTGCATTTTGGCAGAGATAGAATACAGAACGTCGTGTGAATTTAATTAAATCAAATGCTCGATGGCAATATACCATAAATTTCTACGCTTATGCTGATTGGCCTTTGGCCAATTGCGATTCTTGTCAACAGGCTGATCTGGTTTCATTTTCCACTCTTATTTATGGTACTTACTTCTCGGCTTTTGGATCGATTTCATGGGTGGGTGTGCTCGTGTGGGGGCTGCAATAATGATACGATTACTATTCATCACACAATAAATACTCCTTAATTGACATTTCCTCCGTTTGAAAGACCTTCTGAAAGCCTGTTCTTCAGCCTATCTTCTGACACATTTGAATACTGTTAGTCACCCTCTAATCACTATTTCCCCCTTGAATTTTGAAATATTTTAGTATTTTATCATTTTGTCATTGAATTCTGATAAAAAAAAAACAGGAAAAACGGCGCCACATTTTGATTGGATTCGTAGGAATAGCAAAAAAAAGGTGACAGCTCCAGTTATTTATAGCTATCGTTCCCGATCATGAAGGAGGCATTCAGAGCACGTTGCAGTGCATCTTGAGGCTTGGCCAAAGGTATTCCCAGGCATTTGATATTTTCACTTTGTGGAAACCATCGGAATACGGAATGTCCCGCCAGTATTACGATATTTAGCAGATTCCAGTAGCCAACTGTTTTATTGTTGACCCTTTCCCTCTCATCTGGCCCTCCGTATCTGGCTTTTATCAAGGGTGCTCCCCACTCGCACAGAACCAGAGTCAGTGTCATGGGACCAATGCTGCTAACATGCGAGATAATTGCCGTATTAAGTGAAGTGTGGAACGTGTTGATTGTGATAACATCGCGACACTTATCAGTGGGTGGTTTCGGGGCGGCGTCCGGAGGCACAGACCTCTGCTTGAGTGACGAACTGACATTTCGGTTAAGTGACAGTTACTTAAACGTGGCCTGATAAGATTTCTCTTTATACGCTGATTAAATGGGGCTTCGAAAAACGAGGTGAAGTCTTTTTATGGCATCCAAAACACTTCAGGGCTCTGCTTTACTTTTCTGGGCCACCAGAGAAATGTTATTTAAAAGGATTTCGTCACATGCACGAGTACGTATCAATAGTTTTATTGAACCAATGCTATTTTTTGCAAACATTTTCCAAAGTGTTTTTCTAGCAGGCAAATTAATTTACACCTGCTCATTAGCACTCAGGCAAGGCAGCCCAGCCGCGATAATGACAGTTGAAAGGCCCCCACTACCCTGTCAGGAAGTAAACACCCCAGTGCTATTGACGAAAATTAATTAATCAAATGATGCAAATTGTTTGAGCATCCCCAGCAAAGGGCACACTTTAAGTCAACAACCGATGATCGTGCTAGCTCTGCTCTCTATGTACATACCTGTGTATGTATATAAGTGATACGTTATCCAAAGACGCGGATAGTTTATACTTACTGCATTTCCTTTAAAGCAGCGATCGGCATGACCCTATCTTATCTGCATAAGAAAGGGTATAACACCAATACTATGTTCTGTTTCGCCTGCTGTCCACGCACACGAGCGTGCCGTGCCGATCACTGCTTTAAAGCTTTTCGTATAACAGCAGCGTACTTCTCTCTCAGTGTCAGAGCGAGAGAGGAGAACGACTGAAAGTCGCAGAAGCTGCAGATGCAGGAAAGCTATAGCCTGTTGCCTATGCGAGACTGACTGATTGATTGATTGAGTGATGATGAGAATGACAGCGGCATGGAACGAAAGTGAATAAATAAATTAATAATTTGATTAGCATTTGGCATGCGTTGTGCAGGTTTTAATCGACTTGGACTTGGATAAATGTTTTATTTTTGGTTCGCCAGTGGCCAAAGCCAGTGGCGTAGCTTGTAGGTGCAAGAGGGGAAAGAGGGCTTTGGGGTGCCGGATACTGACCAGCAAATACATGTTGAGAGAATAGCGTTTTTTTAGGTCACTTTTAACTCCTAACTCCTGGACACAATTGAAAGCTGAAATGCGAGCTACCAGAGGTAACAGAAACTGAAATATCTTTCAGAATTGATTTTGGGGAATTCATTTAAACTTTTGTGAAAAGTAGGCGAGTTTTTGACACACAAAAACTTTTCAATTGTGAAACATTACGACGAACATTATTAATCCGAGTGTGCTTTGCTAAACTACTAACCTAAATAAAATCATTACGTAACTGACTTTAGGACCTTTGGCTACCTATCCTTTTTACGGCACTGACTAAATACTTACTTTTTTGTGTGTGGTTTTTCCTTTGCTTTGCAGAAATGTGGAAATTCTTAGGCGTCGCCGATATAACCGAGAATAAAAATATCTGGCGCATGCTGCTCGGCGAGCTGCTTGGAACATTTTTCTTGATCGCCATCGGCGTTGGCAGCACAACGAGCGGAAGTGTACCGCAGATTGCATTCACCTTTGGCTTAACGGTGGCCACACTGGCACAGGTAAATATACGCACACCTCTATATATATATTTCGATGTGTATTGTACATACAAAGAGAAGGCAACGACAACTATGCCGACAGAACGACAGCGAGATTTGTGATTTGAGTTGGAGATTTCAAATTCAAGTTAGTGCGTACTGATCGGTGGGTACGTTCAAGGACACGCCACACGTTACACTTTCGGCCCCGAGCGAGCCAAAGCGAAGCTGGTGGCACCGCTCGGCTCGGCTCGGCTCGGCGCTGCGCGGTGCGTCGCTCATTCACAAACGTCGCTCACTGCATTTTGGGCAAGAGACATTGGCATTTAAGATGTGGTTAGTGGGAACAGGGCGGGGAGAGGGCAGGGGAGGGGCGGGGAGGGGCGGGGAGGGAGCGCTATAAAACGGCAAACGAATGCAGCTCAAGTCTGCGTGCGAATGTAATTTACAAAATTGACAGATTTACAAACGCACACCCGTACACACGTACATACGTACACTCGTCCGGGAGGGGGTGGAGGGGGGAAGGGAATGAATGTTTTTCGAATACGAATGCGAATAATAAATGCGCGCTCGCAGCAAAAGCGTCGCGTCTGTGGCTGTGCTGTGGCTGTGGCTGTGCTGTGCTGTCTGCTGGCAATTAACATTAATCAACACGCAAAATATGCAATTAGATTATTATGCGTTTAATTACGTTATGCTGCTGAAAATTTGTGACGACTGTTTCGGTTTTAGCATTTAAAGCGATGTTCGCTTTGCTTTGAATTTATGGCACAACAGCAACAACAAAACCAATCGATCAAAACACGAAAAAGCTTCTACAATCTACAGATCTGTTCTAATTATAGAACAGGTGGCTTTCTCTCTGCCACACTCGTTCGATAATTGATACGTTGCATGCCGCTGGAGAACTAAACGCGGTGGCAGGATTACCAATAGATAAATGCAGACACATTATCGCTGCTTGCCTCACTAATCTCCACCTGGAAGCATTTGCGACACTTGCCTCCCTGCCTCCCTGCCTGCCTGCCTCTTGGCCAATTAGTTGCCCAACAGCCAGACCAGGCGAAAGATGCCAGCGATTCGGTCACGAGATTCGTTTGCCAGCCTGCGGCACGTTCGCTGCATTTGAGAAATATGAATATTGCATTTGTTCGATGAGTGGCAGTTGCGGCACGAGTCCGAGTGCGGCTCGGATCGCCGTTGATTGGAACTACAGTGCAGCAGCAGCAGCAGCAGCTCCCATGAATGGAGCATTGCATTGCATTTCCCAAGCAAAGGCAAGGTGTGAGTGACGACAATTCCAGTTCGTTCGTCATCGTTATCGTTATCGCCAGTGCAATAACTGTTCAATGAAGCATGGCGCATGGCGTCAAATTGAGAAACGTGCTTAATTTCCAGTAATTTTGTGCCTTGGAATGGCAAACCCAGAAAGCGCCCAAGCGGAGACTCTGAAATAGAAATAGCTCTTGAGTGGAAATACAATACGAGTAATCCCCTCCTAAGCCTCTGCCGGTTATCGTTCTGCCTAGAGAGAGAGCAGCGGCGGCATTCTTAATCGAAGATCGTTTGAAGATCCACATTTGTATGCAAACTGCATCTGGGGATCACCTGACAGACTGCCAAAAGGAAGTGGATCCCAGAAAATGCTAATAGATTAGAGTAGAATTAAATTTAAAAATCAAATAATATAGAAAAAACAGCAAACAACAATACGAATGCAACGCAGACACATTTTAATTTACCGATCGCACAGATAGTACCGAGTGTACGATCTGTCAACTCTATGCGGGTCGTAAATCTGAAATGCCTGCCGCCCGCCTCATGCTGCTAGATGTCTATCGGTGGCACGGCCCGACAATTAGAGGGCTTGGCTCCCACTTTTGTCTGATTTGTGCGGCAAAACATAATGCTTACTAGGAAAAGATCTGTTGATAGCGCCGATCAAGAACCCCTAGAACCAAGCCCCAATGGTTGGTGCAACCTGGTATTATATGGGAAAGGGAATTTTGATTATTTTGTATCATATTCATTGACTCTCTCGGATTCATCTCTTGTTTCTAAAAAATCTCTTAACTAAATTAAATAAGCCTTAGGCCTTCTTAAACCAAAAGCAGTGCAGTGCAGGCTGTGTTTCTATTTCTATGGAAAATCGAGACAATTTGGTGCGTGCAGCGTTCACGTTTTCGTTTCCAATTCGCGATTTTTCGACTTTGGCTTTGGCCCGATCCGATTCCGATGCGAACTTGAATTGAATCGGAAAACCAGTAAGCGGCAGCCGCCACTGCAACGCAACAGTCGCCAAAGTGCTGCAGAAAAGCAGAACGAAACAAACAAGTTAACATTCAATTTTCAGCTGAAAAGCCATAAAATATGATTTAAGCGTAAATGTCGTTGATGTCGTTGATGTTGTTGTTGTTGTTGTTGTTGAAGCAGTGCACATGCGTACACCGATCGATCTCTCGACATCTCGATTGCCAGGACAGAGGGGCACACCGTGCCACGGCAGACTTGGAGTAGCCAAGAGATGGCCTTCGAAGCGGCGAGTGCTGACTGATCAAATAATAGCTGAATAGCTGATCTTTTGGGCACTATCTTAAGCAATCTATTAGTATTACTTGGCAAGGAAAGGAGTGATTCAGAAGACTTCTGCTTTCTAAACATCCCACCCAACTGCCCCCTGTACTGCCTTCACCTATGCCTGTACTCCCAGGCATTCAATCACTAGCCCAATGTCATGTCAAACCAATTCCAATCCCAAACACCAATCTCGTTTTATAGGCCTAACTCGATTTTCCATCCATCGGCGATGACTCAGCCTCCTCTCAGATTTCACACGCATCCGAGCTATCGCGATTGCTTTGGTTGCATATATTAAATTTAATTATGGGCTTTGTCGATACGAGTATATCAATAAATTTGATTAATTTCACGACTCCTCGAGTGTGCAATTAAGGGGAGTAGAGGAGGCGCGCAGGGGGGGGGGGGGGGGGGGGGGGGCTGAGAACAATGCGATAGGCCTAGAGTCTTGGGCCCAGTCAGAGACAGGTGCAACAAAAGCGGCAACTAAATATTATAGACGAAATTGCACGGCACGGCACGCATGAGCATAGCCAAAATGTCAAGAAGTTGTTCGAGTTGTTCGGATTGTTGTTTGCGTTGTTGGTGCGGCTCGACTTGGATCGGGCTTGGATCGGCCCGACTTGCTCTTGGCGGCTTTTGTAATTAGCGTTTTGTGGTTGCACGGCCAACACAATTTTTTGCTTACCTTTTTGTGCAACATTTTTTGCGCATTGCATTTATTAATTAAACGCAAAGCGACGCACGACATTGGCCATGCCATGCGACGCGGCTTACGGAGAAATCCATATCGAAATCGAATTGGTATCTCCGAAAAAAAACCAACAACAAAAACTAGCAGCTCTCAAAAGATATCGGACAACATAGAAGCCTGCACATCGACCTTGAAGGCAGTGCGTTCGATTCATTCATAATGCGGGGAGTACTCACACCGCCACTCACACTCGCACTCGCACTCACACTCACACTCACCCGACAGGGGGCAATTTGTTGGGTATTCGATTTCCATTTAGCATTTGCCATTGCCCAAGTGCTTCCAAGCGATCTCCTGAGGCAGTGACTCAACAGAACTCAACCCCCAGCACTTTTACTTTCTGCCTTTGCAGAGATACAATCCGTCGATGTTGCCTTTCGAGTGCATCTCATGTCTGATCTCACATCTGACAAATTGCTCGTATCCGCTGGCAGCGTACGGCGATTGTGCAACGGAAAATTGGAAAAAATGGAAGGCGAAAATCAGCTGCCATGGCAAAGGGCACAAAGGTTTTCTGTGTGTTGTTGAGACTTGACATTTGATAGATCCCAGAGCGAGAGAGAGAGACGACAGAGGGGCAGCACAGATCTCAACGTATAAATTAACTTTGACTAAACCACCTTTATTCATCTCTTCTTCCAGGGCTTGGGACACCTCAGCGGCTGTCACATCAACCCGGCCGTGACCCTGGGCTTCCTGGTTGTCGGTGAGATCAGCATCTTGAAAGCGGCCTTCTACATCATTGTCCAGTTAGTGGGAGCCATCGCCGGTGCTGCTATTATAAAGGTGGCCCTCGACGGCGTCGTGGGCAGCGGCCTGGGCGTATCCATGTATGATACGTCCCTGAGTGTGGGCCAGGCAGTGCTGATTGAGGCTCTGATCACCTTTATTCTGGTGTTTGTGGTCAAGGCCGTGTCGGATCCGGGCCGTCAGGACATCAAGGGCTCGGCGCCCCTGGCCGTGGGTCTGTCGATTGCCGCCGGACATCTGTGTGCGGTGAGTGGGCGCTGAAGGATGTGCCATTCGTTCAGGGATTAATGTTTTTTTTTGTTGCAGGTCAAGTTGAGCGGCGCCAGCATGAATCCGGCTCGCTCCTTTGGCCCAGCCGTTGTCCAGGGCTTGTGGACCGATCACTGGGTATACTGGGTGGGTCCCATTGCCGGCGGCCTCGTAGCCGCTCTCATCTACAGGTTCATCTTCAAGGTGCGCAAGGATGATGAGGCCGACTCGTACGACTTCTAAGACCGGAGGCCGTGACAGGATTCGCCTCCATATTGTTGTAAATGTTCGCACCTGCTTAGAGTTCCCAGTTTCCCGCTTTCCCACTTACCATTTTCAATCGCCTGGCATCACCCAATAACGCATCGAATTCGATTCCAAATTCTCCTAGATTAGTCCATCTCCTATCCCTGCCCCACAATTGTGCAATTTTATTTGTTAAAGAATGAAACGCAATCGCCTTGTTTTAGTGGTAATCTTAAGCTAAATTATATGTTACGCGCACTTTCGAAGCAAAACCACAAACCATCGAAATTGTACCTCGAAATCACTTTTAATTGTCGAGCACCAACCAGCGCACCTCTTTGATAAATTACGAATTGTATTATGATTATGTGTAATTAAAGAAAAAACTATGAAAATCAACATGCCGTGGATGGCGATTTCTGGGACGGATTTAAGGCTTTGGGTTGTCCAAAAGACTAAAAGAATCCCTTCTAGCAGAGGGGATCTACATGGTGTACCCAGATTAATTTAATACCAGAAATAATGTGAATTAACGGAATTTCGAATATAACGACACTTATCGATTTTCTACAAACAACTGCCAACTATCGCAACAGCGCCACAGGGCGGCAATAAGTGGAACCTGAAATAACCAAATTCGCAGCTTTGTAAAAGCAACATTTAATGCTTGCTGGTGTTGCTCAACATGCTAATAGCAACATTTTATTCCGTTTTAAATTGAAACAAATTTGCGCTCACAAAAATCCTGAGGATAGTTGAGAAATCAAATTTGCAAGTATACTGTATTGTCGAAACGCCTCAAAAGTCGATTAAATCTAGGAAAAATAATTGCGCAATCCATTGGCGTCATTAATTTACACAATACGAGCAGGTGAAGCATAAAGATATATTTTTTTTTTGAGCAAAATAGCGTGAAGATGAATTGATTAAATGGGATTGTAAGCGAGCGTTTAACTGGAATTCGTTGGGACACCGTAGTTCCATTTGGGTTTTCGAAGTTTAAAGATGTCCCACAATATAAAAGTTTTCGTTCTAATCATTGTTGTATCATATGTGGTCATCGAGGTTAGTAAAACCATTTTCAACCAGTTATGAGACATTCTAAAAACTACAAAACATATTGCAGGTCACTTCGAAGGTCGACTTTACCAACATTGTATGTACTTCGTATGATAAAGAATTTTCTGACTTTGAGTACTGCTACCTGAAATCGGTGAATCGGACCTACAAATATTTATCTTTTAAATGTAACCTGTACCAGAAGCCAGTAAGGAAAGTAAATGTAAGAGCAATGCCGAAATAGAGCAAGTTTTTTTTACTAATTTCAATTTGAAATCTCAGGTAAATTTAGCACTGCACAAACGATTCAATGGCTATAGGCCATTCATGTACAATATAACTGTGGATGCCTGTAAATTCCTTAAGGATCCTCAAAAAAATCCAATCTTAAATTTTTTTTATACTTCGAATGCACCGTTCTTTAATTTGAACCATTCGTGCCCCTACAATGTAAGTTAATCCCTTACAGACTCGCCAACAAAATTGGTAATAATTGCAACTATTTTTCCGCTTCCAGCATGCTATTATCTTGGAAAAGTTAAACACTGCATCTGTAAATCACCAATTTTCTGTAGTGCTACCATTTCCGGATGGTGATTATATGGTAGAAGTAAACTGGATTGCCTACGACATCAACCGGGCTGTGACCAAATTTTATTTCACTCTCTCTTGAGTTATGAACTTGACAAATATATATGTATTAAATGCCTCTGTAAATCCAATCCAATGTTCATTCGAAGCCATTATGCTTTAAGGGTATGCTTCGCATCATTCTTACATAATTTGGCCATCCAATTATCCTATCTTTTCCTACTCCTGTGCATTCCTTGGCAGACGAATCCGAATCCCTCGGCACAGACAAACCACATAACACGTGAAATTCGTAGGAGCACATTTTAGTGTGGAACATACATACATAGAATTCTTAAGATAACACGTAATCCGTAACTGTATCCAAATATTAGGCTACTCCGCCGCCGCCTCATCCTCGTCCAGCTGCTCGCAGTCGATGTCGCTGCACTCGGACTCCGATTGCGTGGGTCTACGGCTGCGCTGGGCCTGGCCCAATGCCTCGTGGCCATAGGACGTGGCGCCTCCCGCTCCTGTGCCAGGGACGCTCCGGTGCTGCAGAAAGTTGGCATTCGCGTCGCCAAAGACGCGCTCCAGCTCGGCCAGGCCGTTGGTCGAGCCGGTTTCCGCTTCCGTTTCCGGTGTCAGGGTGGCGTACTTCAATTGGAGATAGGCCTCGCTCTGAGGATGTGGCGGGGCGTAGTTCATGAACCCGCCCGCATAGGACTTGCAGCGCGGCACATAGCTGGACGGGGACACGGGCACTCCACCCGCCGAGGACTTGGATACGCCAAAGGGCAGAGCAAAGTTGAGGGGCTGTCCACGGGATAGAATGGCATTGCGGGCGCTCTCCATGACACTGGGTCCCGGCAGGGGAGGCATTCCTCCACTCTGTGGATACGGACGCATTGGCGGCGCTGCTGCCGCCATTGGAGGGGCGGACCCACTGCCGTTCAGCATGATGGACTGGATGGGTGTGGGGCCGGCGGGCGTCTGACTGAAGAGCCAAAGGCGATCGCCCACCACCATGGGTCTGGCCAAGCCCCCGATCCCCAGCTGGGCGTAGTAGTGGGAGGCCAGGGTCTCCACATCAGATGTGTACTTGCGCTTCCACTTGGTGCGACGATTCTGGAACCAGATCTTGATCTGCACAAGGTGGTATTAGAAGAGAACTGTCTGCCTTTTGGGGTTGAGTTGTGCCCTCACCTGCGTCTCCGTCAGTTGGAGCTGTTTTGCCAGCGCCGTTCTCTTGGCCACCGATAGATACTTGCCCCGCTCGAACTCCGTTTCCAGGGCCTTGATCTGGGCCGCCGAGAAAGCCGTTCGCGGACGCTTCTTTCGATCATCGCCGAGTGCTGCAAGCGGAAGGAAAGCGGAAGGAGTTAATGACTGAATGGGAAATTGTTTCATTGATTCAAAGACACTTATTGCTACCGACAGCGGGCATTCCGCTCTTCCGTTGCCAGGGAGAGGTGCCAACTATTTGCTGCTAATTGTAATTTGTCGATCGGTTACCAAGGCTGCCCCAATCCCTTGTTGGCAACCACTCAAGCGTTTCAATCAAAAAGCTGCATCTCATTCAGCCATTGCCTCTAATTGGCCATTTGGCGTGGCATTCTCTTGGCTGACCGAAAACAAATTGTCATATAAATTCCTTCTCTACGGGTGGAGGCCCTCCACCTATACCTTTTCTTTCAGATCTTTTCCGATCCCGCACCCGCTTTGACAACTGCATCATTAGCTACTCGTATGTGACGGTGTCGGGCTTTTCTTTCTGTATTTTCTGTCACCCCTCAAGCTAATTTTTGACCATTTGTTTCTTGATCGCACAGTTGACAGATGAGATCACTCAGCCATGGCGGCGTTCGTTCAGGTGGAATTACCAATATCATTAGTAACAAAACCTGAGAGATTGGCGTTTGGGCCTTTGGGTCAAAAGTCTCGATATGTATAAGGTGCAAAGAGTGTATCCTTATACATCCCCCGAGAAACAAAGGAAATTTCGGGGCAGATTTGTTTCTCTGTTCGTTCCCATCCCTAGATCCTATCTTTGCAGAGAATCAGAATCAGAAAATACCACCTTTTATGCGCAGCTGGCATTTAGTTATAATCATAAAATCCTCTCCAAAATTAGGTATTCCTTATAAATTCCTCAAAGAGCACAATAAGACAGCCATTTTATAGATTTCTCCGGACCTCTTCTCACGGCTGTTCTGCAGTCCACTTCCAACAATCATACGCACCGTTGCCGTCGTCTGAGGCGATATCTATATCACTTTTGCCATCGTCCAGAGCATCCTCCAGGCAGCTCGATGTAGCCGGACTGGAGACGCGCGACACATCACAGATGCTGCCGCCTCCACTGTCATCCTGCGACGCCGCCTGTGACGCGCCGATCAGCTCGAAACTATTGGACGCACGCAGCTCCGGCTTGGCCAGAATCTGATCGATCGAAAAACTGTGCGGATACCGACGCGCCGCCGATTGGGAATTCATATTTGAACCGATCTTGAATTGGGTCTTTTGGCCTCTGCGATGGCTATCAAAACAACAGCGCGCCTCGAGTGGTTTCGGAAAACTAATTTGAATATTTCGAAGTGCAGGATCTTGGCAACCGGGCGATGCCTGGCGGGGCGTGGCCTCGGCTATATTCAGTCGCACTCTCTCTCTCTCCCTCACACTCTCTGCAGCTGTCTGTTTGTCCTCGTGGGAGCAACAGAAACAGACATAGCCGATTCCGATTCCGAATCCGATTCAGAGCGAAGCAGACACACATGTGGGTTTATTTTTAAAACATGTGTGTGAAATGGTTTGGGTGTCTGGGCGTGTCTTTCGAACATTCCCCTATACTATATATTCTCGTCTTCGTTCTCTCACATCTCGGCTATGATTAAAAGCCATAATTTTTGGCTAATAGTCTACAAGTAGCGCTATTTAATATTTCGATGGCTTTGCTAAATATATTTAATACGTTTGCAATCACACATATTTCATGCCTCTGATTAATGAGCGTGTGATCGAAATTATGCGGACCCGTGTCTCCATTAGGTGCTGATCTTGAGAGCATTTGCATTCCTCTTGTGATCTATTATAGCAAGGAAAGTGCATATAAACTATTTTTTAAGGATATCTGTCCTCAGTATTAACATTGTTTTCTCCCACTGGGTGCTTCAGTGGGTGCTGAAGAGGACACTTTATCGTTCAATAAAGAAAGGTTACAGCCACATTTTCTTGGTCATCTCCACCTGAGAATGGGTCAAGAAATATATGGAGACACTTTTATACCTACTCTGGCAGAGGCCCCAAATAAAACGTTCATTAATTCGAAATTATGAACACATAATTCAGAGCAGTTCCGATCTAATACGATGTGATATCTTCAGAGAGCCAGCAGCACACTCGGAAGGGGCGGTGGCGGGCGGTGGGGGGGTGGTGGGGGATCTTGAGAAATTAGCTGGTGGTACGGCAGACACTGGTTTCCAATTGGCGGGTAGCCAGCTCCACGTCGCTTACTACAGGGTGCTGGATGGCGGTGTGATAACGTCTTCATTATTCACGCACGATTTGAACAAAATATGTGAAAACACGTTAATTAGTCGCCAGACTCGGAGCAAAAGGCAGAGGCAGAGGGGCAGAGAGCCAGATCACTCTGGGATCAGTGCATTGGAATGGATAGGGAGAGGACGAATCGCAAGGCATCCATTTAGCAGGGCTGCGCTGTCATTTTGATTTAATTTAATGAGAATACTCGACGTCTGCCCCTGCCCAAGCCCCGTCGGGGGGCATGGGGCTTGGGGCTTGTGGCTTGGGGGCACTGGTTATGGGACCGCATGCCCGAGTGTCGCGGGCATTCAAATCAAAATGACAACTTAATTTTCATAATTGCGCTTAATGAATATTCGACTATTGCTTGCCATATTTCAAATTCCTCTGCCAGACGGGGAGTGTGTTTGGCTCTCTGGGGTCTCTGGGCTCTCTGGGGTCTCTGGGTGCCGTGGCATCTCGAATCAATTAACAATTTGTTAGCCCTTTGGCCAGTTATCGCCTGAGATCCCTATCTGAATGCCTATCCCTGTTCCTGTTTCTGTCCCCATCCCCATCCCCATCCCAAGATCGGCTCCCATCCGATTCCCTCGCATTTAACGTTAAATGGAGCGCAACCGTGTCAGAATTTAATTAACAACCGAGCATGCATCTCCATTATAAATCATCACTTCTCAAGTGTTTGTCAGGCGCACGCAGCATAAATCACAGTCGGACACGGAGACGAAGACGGAGTCGCAGTCGCGTGGTGCAGTCTGTCCTCCAGTTTTTTGTTCCTTCTTTTTTTGTCATCGCACTCCGCTAATGATGCACTCAGGTCCTGCGGGGTGTCGGGCATCACAGCATCACAGCATCCACCATCCACATCGATCTTCGAGTAAACATCTGTATCGAGTTCGAGTATCTGACGTCCTGACACTCCCACGCCATTCGGGGTCTTCAGAGTACGGTTTTGGTTTTCGGTTTCCGATTACGTCAAAGGTGAACATTGGACCTTCCTTCTTTCCATGGGGCGGGGCGTGGCGTGCATTGAACTCTTTGGGAAATTGTAGCCTGATTAATTCGTTGGGCTGTCTGTTTGTTTGCCTCATGGTCTAATTTGTGTGACAAACTAATAGGGCAGGACAGGGCAAGGGTAATGTATCTTCAACACGGAAAATGTATCCAAAGGGCGGTTCAAAAGACGTATACGGGGTATGGGGTATATCCCTAAATTTCCAGGAACAATAGTAGCCCTATCTAGATATTTCATTACAATTTGTGTTCCATAAATACTAGTTAGTTAGTTTTGTATACTTTAATTGCAAAGAAGAGCGCAAACACACTATTTATTGTTCATTCAGGGAAAATTGTACAGTTGTACAAACAATGTATCAAATTTATGCAGTGTTTATCGGCCTCGGATGCCTAATAAGCGTAAGTTTTCCACATCCCAGCCGCCTTGTTGCCAAAAAGGTTTTGCCTTTCCAGGTTTTGCCTTTCATTGTCCATGGGATACCCCTGTCCCTGACCCTGGGCGAACCTTTGAATGCGAGCAGCAACCAGAGCTCCGTGTCACCGAACATGACGGTCCCATCGAAGTCTGAGGCGGTTCAAGCCCAATTGCAGCTCCAGGACCTGGAGGCGGCTGCCGATAACTCGGGATACCGCGGACAGGAATCGGAAAGTGGCAAAATGGGCCTGTTTCCTGTCGCCTATCAGAGCAAGCTGCGCACGGCGGACAAGGCACCAGCGCGCACGAAGGTGTCTGCAACTAAGCGCCCCATGGTCCGTGGTAATCTCACAAAGGGGGCTCTCAACTTCTGGGCCATGCCCAAGGCTAAAAAACCAAAAGCAAAAGGAGAAGGAGAAGCACCAGCAAAAGCACCACCACCAGCACCAGCACCAGCAATATCACCTAGAGCAGGCGAGGGTAAAATACGAACCAAAAGTTTCGAGAAAACGATATCGATACCCCGAATGGAGAGCGACCATATGGGCAATTGGGTATTCAATCCTTGGGGTGTTACGTTCGGAGTACTTTGGCAGGATACGCGAATGCACTACAAAATCAAGAACAGCATGTCAGAAATAATCATGGACACGCCATATCATGGCCACTACCAAATGTACTATAACAAGCCGCAAACCCAAGTGTGCCGTGGCCTGTCGACAATTTACAACAAGCCCAAGGTGTACAAGTGGCTGCAGCGCCGTATCCTCAGGAACGTAACGCCCAATTTCCACGTGTTCTCCTCGTACAGGCCCATCTGGTTGGATTTCCGAAGGGAGCTCTTCAAGATGGGCAGATCGGAGGCCTGCCACGTGTCGGCGATGGACGATTGGTTACTGTACAACAATTGCGCCATATTGCGGAATATGCGAATGGAGTATCTAATACCCAAGTATCCACTGCATCAGTACGGCTATTACCACCCCCAAATGAGAGTAGAGCTACCGTATAAATTGATATAGCAGACGCAGACACCAATCTGACAACAATTCAAAATCATTAAAGTTGTTTATCTGGTGTATCTAAAGAACTGTAAGAACAATGAGCTAAGTGATTTGTCTTAGGCGGTTAAGACCTGCACGTAGAGTCCCGGATACATTCTATCCATCGCACAATTGATCTGGAAAGGTCTCTCCAAGCATTATATTTCTCTGCTTTACTTTTCCATTACATAAAAGACTAACACAGCAGATCAAGTGATGGAGAAATCTAGAGATCCGCTGCTTGCCATGCCACCCATTTCATCCACTCCACTGTCCGAGGTGCGGAGGACCTGTGAAATGTTTTAGAGATATCTTGCCAGTCCTGGACATGATCAGATATCTATTTCCAGTTGGAGTTATCGGTTAGAACGGGATTAATCTGGGACTTGATAGAGGATGCACTAGGACAGCCATACTCATGCTATAATTGATCCTCCTGAGTGCTTAATAATTTTAACTTCTTCACGTTGGTGTTTACTGGTATCAAATAGTACCCTTTGTCTCATCCGACGACAGGATATCCACATCGAATAACCTGATCTTGGACTTTAGATTGCTAGATATAAATATTATTCGTATTTTAGAAGGGTTTTTTTTTATTTATTCCTGATTATCTCAGCATATCTCTAGAGTCTTGGGTTTTATTGCTTTATACATCACAACCTTGGAACACTTCAATGTTTGGGCAATTTTCCGGTTCCAAAATCCATTATTGTGGACGTTTTTCAAGTCCTTGGGCAGCTGAGCACTGCAATGCACCCCCCTTCTTATCCTGAACAGTTAAAAGTCATTCTTTATATATAATATATCTAATGACTCGCAATAACTTATACAAAAGGTTCCTTAGGAAATGCTGTATGTATTATAATTTTTTTCATCACTTCACTTGGGTTTTTTTAATTTTACTTTAAAAAGTGCAGATATAAACCAACTTAAAAAAATTAAGATCACCTCAAAATGACTGAAAATAGCACTCTCACATAGCTTTTGCTGAAACATATTTTTCGCGTATTTAACTTATATGATGGTTTTAATTTATATTTTTCTGGTGGACCACAGAAGGGAGAACCCCTCTCTATATTTTAATCTGCAAGATTAATAGAATAATCTCTATCCTTTCCTTGCCCCGCGTCATGCGGTAGCGCCCCTCAGTCAGATATGTTAGCGCTTTAAAATGTCCTAATATAAAGGGAAAAAGCCGTTCTTATGGATCCACGTACAACTCGATTTTATGTCGATTTGTCTTCTCCTTCTACAAATAACCAGCTAATGTCAGCATTTAATTTCATTCATAAAAAATTCCCCAAGAGTCGGGAGTTCCACAGAAGCCTCTACGCCCTCTATAGGATGACAGATATAAATAATAATTAAGAAAAAATGAGAGAGAATGAACACTGCATATTATTAATTTAATGTGCGCGCGTTTCGAATTTGGTTCCCGGCTCCCGGCTCCCTGTTCCAAGAAACATGTTTGGGGAGGAGTACGTGGAGTTGAAGGCGTCATTCCGTCATTCCGCTATTCCGTGTCGTGTTTATGCTTTCCAGAGAGCAGACAAGACTCATAAATTACAACCAATTATCAAATTAGATTTGTACAAAACATGCAGTTTAAATCATATAAAAGTGCTCTCGTTTTTTTATGACACAATCGGGCGAAGAGGGACCGACTCAGACCGGACTCAGATTTCCGTGTATATTTTGTGGTTTTGCTTTTACGGACTGGGCTGGAGAGTATCGCGTCTTTTTTTTGTAGCCAAAAGTAGAATCGATTTGAATCCATGGGCTGCTGATGGCGGCAATTAAACGACAACTTTCCCTCGGGCATTGCGATCGGGAGAAAAAATTAGCAGACAATGTGAGCCCTGACAGGCGGCGGGCAATTAATTTGGTGCAATTACTCAGGCCTCCCCGTCCGTGGATCTGACAGATACGGGATTCAAGAAGGAAAGTGCAGTAAGAGATCGGTGTGGTGTGTGTGTGGTGTTGCCACCTCAACGCATCGATGGCGTAGAGTTTTTCCCTCAATTTCCAACAATTTCCAACAATTGTGCCCGGCCCGGCATTTTAATGAGCCAAACGCACTCCCCTCTCGAGTGGCGGCAAATTGCCCAGTAAAAGGGGTGGCCTAGGGGCTCTGGGGGAGAGATGCTATACTCTACTAATTGACATCGGCAATGGCTGCTGCAACTTGTACTCTTGTACTCTCGTACTCCCCTCCCCGTTGCGCCTTGTCTGTGTGATATCAAACAGTTTCACGCACAAATTGAACCTGATAATTGTCCCTGGCAGATTTATGGCCCGAAGTGATGAGCATATGTTTTAATTAATTCCCAAGAAAGTATTCCTGGCGCTTCTTTTGCGGATCTTTGGTCTCTCCTGAAGCACTACTACTATGTATGCATGTGTATCTCTTGCCTTGATCGATTCTCTGAGCCAACTAATTCCTTTTGTTTGACGCGATCCTACTTATGTAATTATGACAAATGTCTAACCCGAACATGAGCCCTCCTAATGCCACAAAAACCACACCACACCGTGCCCCATAACGGTTCCAGGTTCCCCTTCCACCCCCATTGTTGCGGCCACATCTGCGTGACATTTTGTTTGTTGTTGTCTTGTTTGGGGCTCGCGACATCGCCTCGAGACGCCATCGCCGCACCGCACCGCCATCCGAGGGAGATTAATGCGGTGAGGAAAATCATAAATTAATTAGAAGCGGCCTAGCTATAGCCTCTCCTCCCTGCTGCCTGCTTTGCTCCCCGCTCTGGAGTGGAGTGGAATCTGCTTGAGATGCAGATGCTCATCGGTGACACTTAGCGGGCGATTTATTGTCATTAGAGGGGTGCTTCAGTGTCTCAGTGCTGGTTCTTCGAACCACAATACAGGTGTTGTCACAGAAGTGCTTAATTAGCCTTTATTATTAGCTATGATGTGGCAACTAAATGGTCAAAATTCGGAGATACAACCACAGTCACAGCCACAGGCGACTCAGATCCGATGCCATTCCCATTCCTATTTGGAATTTCCCCTGACTTCCTGTTGGAAAGTTGGCGCCTAGTGCCGTCGTTTAGGGACAATTAGCGACACGCCTTTTGGCGCCAGCTCTCTAGGAATGTCGGCTAGTTTTTGGGGGCATCTGCTTTGGGGGCAGGTCTTGGGAATTCCAGTCTGTCGTCAGTGCGTCGCGACTCCAACATCCTGCCGCAGAGGCTGGGAATATACTTATAATATCCAAGTGTTTTAAATCCACTCTTTTATACATTTGTTGTGCAGTTTCGTGCATTGTTTTTAGAAAATATACTATATACATATATCAAATTTTCGAATGGTAGTCGATGGCGAGATCATATCCCGAAAGACATAATTCGGAACCTAGTATAGGTTTATAGATCCTATCGAAGATAAGATAAGACACATTCGGAGAGTAATGGTGAGGAGGGCGCCGGAATCTGGCGGTGATGTAGCCCTAATGCAGTTACTCTTGGAGAACTTCTGCTGCGAGGATCCATCACCGTAGATCCCAAGCTGCGAGGCCAAGGGGTAACATCAGACCGCCTCATCAACGTCTTGAGGATCGGACCCGTGTGGAAGGACATCTTCTCCGCTCAGATGGAGGCCTGGACAAGGCGTGTTGATCAAAAACATTCGCTAAGCGAATTACTTGGACGATTCTTCCTTGCACATGTGTCTAGATAATACAAAAAATAGGAATTAAAATTATTAATAAAATACTAAGAAAAATGAAAAAACGAAACACAGAAACACCGCATTAAACCGTTTTTTTCTTTCACCCACACCAACAACCACAATTTTGAAAATAAAGGAACTTAACCGCCGATTTCGATCGGTATCTGATATCGATATCAATATTTTCGCCAGTTCAAAAATATTGCCTTTAAATTGCACTATCGAACTAGTTCAAAAGTGTCGTCACATGACAACCAGTGCTGCCACTAGTTCGTGTTGACTCCAAAAATTCTGGCAGCACTATTGATTTAATACTATATTTTATATTTTGGACAGAGCGTATTAATCTTAAAGAATTTTAAAACAGCTCAGCTAAATGCAATTATTTAAATTAAGCCAATGAAGTAGGAAATTGATTCATCACTCGTATAATATTATGTGGGCATGGCTAAATGTTCTATATAGCTCGGAATATTCGACGGAACATCAAAATTGAGCAATATGGTTTCCAATCCTTGACGCAGAACGATTAACCTATTATAAGCCAAGGGGGTATTTCAATTTTCCACCGAAAATAATGAAAATTTAATAATGTTAGCGCAGTTCAGGTGAAAGATATAGTGTCAAGAAGAATTTACAACGTTAATATTTTTCGCCATATACCTCAAGTCGCTGAACTGGTTAAATATAGGGGGCTTAAGTGGGCTAAGATGCTTCCCACCTTATTCGCATTTACACGTCGTTGCGTCTGTTGCGATTTGGATTTGGGGAAAACTTGTATTGAAAAGTGGATCCAAAGACTGTTTGTACGGAGCATTCAACGCGTGGCGCGAACAGAAACGCCGAATTTGTGCTGAATTCTTCTTTTCTTTCGTCGGTCGGTCGCCCGTCGTGTTGCCTGTTCCGAATCTTTGGGGCTTTTTGCATAAAACCAAAAAAAGCGCGCTTGACTTGGCGCCGAAATATTAGTTGGTGTTCGCTGCGAGATTTAATAAGTGCAGAGCGACGGTAATCGGTAATTAATTTGCATTCATCCAAAAAAATTATCGCAAAAAAAAGCGGGAAAGAAGAAGAAGTAGAAGCCCAAAGCAAAGTTGAAGTTGACATTGAAGTCGGAGCGCGTGTGTGCGTGCACGAGTGTGTTGGTGTGCTGGTGTGTGCGAAATTCTTTGTGTTATTCTCTGCAAAAAGCCAAAAGTGTGAAATAAATTTAAAGGCAGAATCCAAGTGCAGATCTCAAACACTAGACTGCTGCTTCGTGCCAATTCAATGCTTTGTTAAAAATCAATAAAATGCTGTAATTGTTGCTGTCGCAATTTCCGTCAACAAGCCGGAGGGTCGCTCTCTTTCCTTTTATCTCTCTCGCGCAGTGTTCTCTCTCTCACTTGTCGCTGGCCTTATCGTGTTTTGCTTGTAGTTTTTATCGTGTCCCGCATTGGAGATTGGAGTGACTTTTAATAATACAATTTATCGCCTTTTTTCGGTTCACGCAAAAAGGAAGAGATTTTCAGCTTAAAGGGAGAAAACGGTAAGTAATTAAAATGGCCGTTTGGCAACTGTTTTTTTCGGTGAGCTTGTTGCACACACACACACACACACGACGGGGAATTTTTTGTTGCCTTTTTTTACAAGTTCAATAATCGAAAGTGCCTATTGTCATCCCTGTCCCACACGCGTATATATGCTAATGAACAACGGTTCAATGCACCGCTCGTTGAGATTTTGAGATATAGCTCCTCTGGCCTGGCTGATGTTCTGTCGCATTTCCTCAAACGATAATGCAGCTGGGTGCTGCGTCAGCTGTGCTCGCGCGGATACCGTTAAACCCGTTTCTGACTCAAAATGCCAATTGTTTTTGTGTTGCTATCGAACGTAATTTACCATTTTTGGCCGTCCAGCAATTTGTTTGGCTCGCAAGCATCGAATTTGTTGCAATTAAAAATTGATTTTCCGTTTGCAGCAGCAATCAAATTGTCAGAAACTACAACAACAGGCACAACGTTTCTGCAACAATGAAAAGCAATTTTCCGTATCTAAAAAAAAAAACATAATAAAAACTCAGTCAAGGCATTGTCTGTTTTTATTGTTTTCGCTTTTGCCATTCGCTGGCTTGCCACGCTTTGTGGCAGGCAATTGTCGTTGTGGCTGCCTTCCACATCATGTTGCAATGGGCATGGCTAATTTTCGGTTTAACAAAAGTTAAGTACACCGCTCTTTGAGCTTTGCTCGTTGTTAACGAAACGGTTTTCCCTTTGTCCCCTCCCTGCCTCTTCTCTTTCTTATGTGCCCCAGCAACACAGCAATTGACAGACGTCTTTTTTCCCCCCCTTGCGTCCGAGCTCTGGCGCTAGGTAATTGCGAATAAGAAACAAAACAAAAGCGGAAAAATACAGCGCAATAATTGGCAATACTCATTGTTGCAACTAGATTCTCGTCTGTGAAATCTATCTATTTAAGAAATAAATAAAAAGAGAATAAAAAAAGTGTTCTTCCCATACCGGGAATCGAACCCGGGCCTTCTGGGTGAAAGCCAGATATCCTAGCCACTAGACCATATGGGATACTGGCTGTCCTATCGCAAAAACCCGTTTTCTCTCCTTTGATGTTTCGTTTCGTCTGTTGAATGCCACAAAATGGGTGCCATTGGAGTGGAATGATTAAAAATAAATTAATTATAAAATGATGAAATTTTGACCTGTTCTAAATCTGTTCTCGAGGATGTAAAGCGATCTGTTGGGGAAAATTTCTAAATGAACTGGCAAAGCCAGACGAGATAAGGAATGGAAATGCATATCCCATATGGTCTAGTGGCTAGGATATCTGGCTTTCACCCAGAAGGCCCGGGTTCGATTCCCGGTATGGGAAAAACACCTTTTTGCTGTGGCTAATGCACTTCAATTAAATCAATTACCCTGTTTTACGATCCCCTCCAATTCCGACATGCAACACGGAGAGAGAGAGAGAGTAGTGGTAGTCGAAAATCCGACAATAACTCCACTTATTGACCTCCACCTAAAGGCTGTATAACACGAAACTTGGGTTCAAGTGGTTTTTTAATGAGTCGCGGCGCAGCGCAGCGCAGCTATGGGTATGATCCGGCTCAATGAACCACTTCCACCACACCCCTCACCACCAGTTGCAGCTGCAACTCAATTTTCCATCTCGAAACTCGATGGAAAAGGAAAAAGCCGACCAGAAAAAAATCAGCTAATTCATCAAAAGTGTGGCAAAGCCGGGGCCTGCCAACAGTGAGCCATTGTTGTTGCCCAACACGCCTACTTTTCGCTAGAGTCCGCCCCATTAGTTGCATGCTGCTTGCTGTCTGCCGTCTGCCACTTTCCAAGCCAATTGAAAAACTCATGTTGCCTTTTTATATGCCATCATCATCAACATCATCCGTACAGTATCTGTATCTCGCGTATCCAGACATTAGAAGCGCGTGTGAGACGTACGATTGAGCCAGAAGCGGATAAAAAGGCAAAAGCGTACAAATTACCATTTTTTATGTGTAGTTTTTTTCCTCAAAGAAAGCCAAGCCCCGGTCGAATCGATGGGGGGCTGCGGTGGCGGCGACGGCGGCGGCCTGAGAGACGTTCAACTTTTTTCTTCGTTTTTATTAAACGCTAAAAGTAACGCCAACGCTCACCGAGCTTTGTTGCTTACTCTTCCCGAAGGAAGAGCATCAGCCTTGTGGCATCATGGAGATCTTGTTGCATATCTTACATTTGATATGCTTTCCAAATACTTCGCAAGGGTATCCAGCATTCGATGGCGATGCTGGCTTCCTGCCTTTTATTTGTTGAAAACCAGTTGAGCAACAAGAACAAAAGACAGCAGCAGCTGTTGCTCTTCCCCGCTTCCACTCTATCGCCCTCTTCTCTGCTACGTTGACTGCATATTAAGCTCCCGTCCGGCTGGTGCGCCTGCGCCGTCCGTCCGACAGCCGACCGACCGAGTCTGTGTGCGTCTCTAAGCTCTGTTTGTTTTGTGGAAGAGAGCAGGGCACGGATTTGCAAGAGAAGCAGCTGCTTGGAGGGCAACCCACCCCTGTTTCGTTTCCGTTTCGTTTCAGTCAAAGGCCGTGCCAGTTCCATTCCATAAAATGGCTAAACCGAACAGCAATGAACTTTTGTAATATCTTTTTGGACTTTTAAGTGCGCCTTTGTCGTCGCGTCTATCGCCATCGGAAAGGCAATTAACATGCAAACTTTAACAGCAGACAATCAATCCATTAAAAATGCCTCACGCACTCCCCATTTCTTTGTCTGTGGGGCTCTCTGACTCTGTGACTCCTCTATCCATTTGGCTGGGGTCTGGTCTCTGTTTGTTGTCATTGTCTCTCTGTCTCCGTCGTGAGGTGCAGCAGCAGCAGCAGCAGCTCCACCAACAGTTGGGGAGGAAAACGTGTAAATTTCGTTTGACAGTTTGACAGAAGCAGAGGAAAAAGCGAAAATAAATAAGCTGAAAAGCAAAGCTAATGCTCCCCAAGTCGTACTCGTCGTAGTCGTAGTTTCACCTCATCCATCGCCCATTTAGCATGACAATCAGACGGGGTGCCGCGAGGGAGGGGGGGAGGCACTAATACGCGCAGGTCATGCATGGCCTGCAGTTGGATTCGCGACGTACCACACCTCTTTGGCTTTGGCTTTGTTGCAGAAACTGTTTTCACTCTTCATTTTCACGTTCGTGGAAATGCGCGGCCCAGCGGGACACGCCCCACTCCGCCCCGGGGCCCGAACCAAAATCAACGAAAAGAAGGGCATTGACACACATTTTTCGGCGTGTCTTGGCTTTGCGTGCCCCAAGTCCGAGGCCAGATATTGGTCTTGGTCTCTTGGTCAATACACGACACGACGCGACGCATATATGTAGATACATCTCCCAAAAAGATGAGGGAGAGGCCAGCAGAAAGAAAGTGTTCGAAAAGCGATACGATGCCGGGTTGGCCGACGCATGTCCAATAAACAAATTGAAATATTTACGCTTTGAAACGAAAGAATCGAAAGAAACGACACAAACCGGTCCGAAGTCGGGCCTCGGTCTGGCCGGCATCCCTATAATCGCTTCATTCGGCTGGGATGCAGCTGAGCTGCAGCTGTGACCCACTCCCAGTTGTCGGACCATACCAATCTGCGCACATTTATCCCCGTTTGGTGGTTGGTAGTGGCTGTGGTGGCGGTGGTGGCGGTGGCGGCTGGGATCTAATGCCAAAAATTCAAATATAAAAATTTCACCTCCGGTCACACGCTTCAGAAGAGAAGTCACACTCCGCCTCGAACAACAAACAGACAGAGAGACAGACAGACGATGGTAGTGGGGAGTGGGGAGTGGGGGCTTGGGGCAGGATTTGTGGGCAATAGTTAATTAAACAAAAACTGCGCCCATGGCCAATGAGAAAATTGATTGCATGGTAGGGAAATGGGAAATGGAACGAACCAAAGAGCCCAAGAGTATTGCCTGCAAGTACTGTAAAATAATTGGAATCCGACTCGGAACAAACAACACACAAAGAAAAGATTGCTTTGGATGCTAAAGCTTAAGATCGTATCTATTACCGATCCACCAATCAGCGAAGGTACAACGGAATTATCTAGATAACGCTCTCCCCTCCTCATTACGAATCTTGATTCCACGCGTAGTAAGCATTTCTGAAGTGAAAAGAAATTGCAAACGCATCTGGTTGCATTTCCTTTTTGGGCTTAATTCGATGAGACGCCACGCTGTTGATTACCGCGTATTTTGAGTGCTTTCCGCTAATCCGCCCCATGATGCTCCATTTTTAGTTGAACGGCGGCGCATCTTTGGCAAAAACGAGGCGATGCTCCATTCCAGCTCCATGAAGATAAATGATTGAATGTCCGGATGCACTTGAAGCGCACATCAAAAAATTGTTGCCTGTCAGCAGCGTCATTGAGACTGTGTGTGTCTTGGCTCCTCTTCGAATCCAGCTTAAATGAGTCAGGGAAAACTCTTCTCTTTATGGCAACTGTTCACCGGTGAATCAATCACTGAACCGGTTCAGCCTTGCCCCGCCTGCCGCCTTGTTTTGTGGTTTTGGCTAATGAGCGGCACTTGTTGTCCCAACAAGAGTTTCGGCCGGAGAGACCGTGTCCATCTTCAAGTTACAGGGTTTTTCTCTCTGTGGGAAAGCCTATGGCCATCGCTTACACGTGTCTCTGGGGGGAGGGAAACGGGCATAACCAACAACATTTATTAATTGGGTCGAGAGTCTTGGCTTGGAGCGGGGTAATGAACTTGTTTGTGGATTGATTAAATGGTTTCTTTTTAATGAAAAATCTCCGATAAATTAGTTAAGGTTTGCCCCACACACAAACCGCAGCTATTCTTGTGTACAGTTCCAAGCTTCTACCACGAGCTTGAATCTTGAAATGATGTCATATACTGCAAACATTTGTGCTTATGTAGCTCTTTATTTTATATACTTTTTTTTATTTTTTTTGCGAGATGTTCTTCCCTTGAAATTCTCAAGAATTTGGCATTGCTATTTGATCGTTATCACGCCACTCC